TTTTCATCTGTCCATATTGTCGGAAGTTTGACTTCTAAACTTCCTTCGACCATCCTAGGATTTTTAATTGCCCGGATGACCGGTACTCGTAGCATCGTTACTGGCCCGGGCGACGTCGCATCTGTCAGGCTGGACTCACTGGACGCTGGCGGTGGAAAAAAGATCGGATCCAACTTGGTGAACGGTAGGGGGCATCCAGTCAGGTACCCTCTGGTAAACTAACATAACTATGGAAAATCATCATGTTTAATGGGAAAACTCAGTATAAATGGCAATTTTCAATAACTATTTTGACATAACCAGAGGGTAAAAGAACCCATCGAACTTTAGTAGAGCAGTGGCTGCGATCTACCCCTGGCAGGGTTGATGATTAGTTCGGGGGATTATACTACCCTTTAAAAAAATGGGGATTATGATAATCCAAGAACGAGGAATCCCTATTAATTAACCAACCAAGAAACATCTGGAATGACAGGGATCGGGATTTTGAAGACTGATCAGTATATACTTTTTCGTATATGTTTAGTGATATCTACAAAGTGGTGCCCCAGTTCGTTAGCTAAGTTGGTGCAAATAAGTCCAATTTCACTAGGGTTGATGAATGGGGTTATATATATATAGTATTCATGGGGATTATAAACCAACTAACATCACTATGGGGGCACCACCTTGTATACCATAAACATCCATAAACCCATGCTGTTGTTATGTGTTGTTGTTATCAACCAATTCAGCTAACTTACTGTTATAAACCATCACGGGCATCACCTTTTTGTCAGCTCTTGGGTTCATGCAGAGATCCACGATGGATATAGTACAGAAACAATTGAAATTCAACAGTATGAGTACAAATAATAGTAGTGTTGATAGAGCGTTCCACTTAGTACTCTTAACATCTCTTAACATGCCCCAGTGAGAACTATAACGTTGTCTTGTCATTCCTGGAAACTATGAATAGCAAGGCGTTCGTTCTGGTGATTTACCCTCCGGTCATTTCGTCATTTCTCCCATGGTACGCTGTAAAATCCACCAAAAATGAGGATAGAATGGGTATGTCTGGGTAAATTATAACGACCTCACTGGTCTCCCTCACTGGAATCATGGTGAGTGAGGGAAATCATCCCCAAATGGCCTCAATTCAGGTTAGTGAAATATTATAATTTACCCAGGTATGTAATCAGCCCAAAGCTGAGTTGTGATTTGTTTTTGCCTCGGTTGACGAGTTGAGGGGTTTATTCTTCGGATGTCTGACTGGTTGGGTGAAACCAAATCAGTTGGGATGTCTTTGGCCGTTTCTGTGGTTGGTTTTGTAGTGTAACCATATACCATCATGGCTGCAACATGTTTTGGTCTCATGAAATATAGGATATCATTTGAATTCATATGATAATATGTGGTAAACATACAAAAAACTAAAGAAAATCACCATTTTTAATGGGTAAATCAACAACTTCTATGGCCATTTTCAAGAGCTATGTTAAATTACCAGAGGGTATCATAGGATTTTCTCACTGAAAGTATAGGCTAGATGGCTAGCTTATCATCCAGACAGGAACGCTCCTTTCGTCTCGTCACCGATTGCGGCTCAGCTTGTCATATATGAAGCAACAAGGAGGAAATGGAACCTTCAAGGTGGTGCCCCCATAGTGATAAGTTGGTTTATAATCCCCATTAACTATAGATATAACCCCCATAAACCCTAGTTATTGGACTTATAAACCACCTTGTTGAAGGCCTCGATCGTATGGAAGTTGAGTCGATGGCCGATACACGAAAAGCAATACCCTCTGGTAATTTGTTACATAGCGAACTGGAAAATTGCCATTTATAGTTGATTTACCCATTAAAAATGGTGATTTTCCATGGTTATGTTAGTTTACCAGAGGGTACATGAAGAATCATGAAGACCAGTCCATAAATTGGCCTTGTAGCTTTGAACGTTGTTGACCTATTCGACATGCTGCAGGAGAGTCTTCAGTATGAATCCAGTTTTGCCTTCCTTTGGACAGATGTTCTGATTTTTGAAAAAAGAGAAACACAGTTTGACATCTTGACACCCCCCTTCTTAAAATTTTTTATCCTATCTAATATTAGTGACCTGATTTGATTCATTCTTAAGGTCAAATCCCCATGTTGACAACTGACCCATCTCGCCCCACTCAGCGAACTTTTGCGCCGTGCCGCGACCGGGCGGTCTGGCTAGGCAACTGGGCTTTGAGATGATTTGAGCCATTTGAGCCATCAAAACAAACAACCGGTCGACAAGATTCGAATATGAACAAAGAAAAAACATGATGGAGATTGGATATATATATATATACATGATTATATATGTATGCTGTAAAAACCTTCCCAGAGGTAGTCTAAAATACCAGTTGGTATATTTAGATATCCGTATAATTAAATGTAGTTGCCGTATGTGTATATATATAATGTAATATAATATATATATATACTGGTTGGTAACTGGTTGGTGGTTTGGTTTGGAACATTTTTTACTTTTCCATATCTTGGGAATGTCATCATCCCAACTGACTTTCACTCCATGATTTTTCAGAGGGGTAGGGTTAAAACCACCAACCAGGTATGTATAGCTTCAGTGGCTCACGGGACGATGGAAACGAGATGGCCTTATGACCCATGGGGTTCCCATCTACCCTCTGGTTAAATCAAAATAGCTATGGCAGCTATGGCCCATGTTTAATGGGAAAATGCCAACTGTTTAAATATCGCCATGGCTTCAATAGCTATGTAACAAAGTACCAGAGGATACATCCTATGTTGAGACATAGTCTATGTGTATATAGATATACTGTTTTTTTGTACCAGTGACCGAACTTGACACATAAACATGGGTATACTATAGAAGTACTGAATTTATTTGGTGCCAATTTGGGTAGATTAGAGTCTAGGTGGATCTAGGTATATACATATATATATATATAGCCAAAACGGATACATACACGTAGTAATACACACCATAGTTCTCATTTCTTTATATCCGAGTTGCTCCAACCTATTACAGGTACATCACTTTCACAAGGGGTGGAAATGGACCTAGTTGTCTCCTCTTGTGACCGGGGTGTTGAGGCGACATTGAGGTTAGTTATAATAATATGTATGTATATATATATAATATGTATATAACCATTGTATTTATATATTATCTATATATCAAATCGAATCAATCTGTGATCTGTTGGGCTAACTCTTTGCTGGTTCATCCCAAGGATTTCTATATTGTATCCCAAGCGGGTCTGGTAAACTCAATTGGGATTCTGATGGATTCTGAAGATCTTGAGCTCCTCCATCTTCATTCTTACGGGTGCGTTTTACGTAGGCTTGCTGGAAATGCCTTGGAAATGCCTTGGAAATGCCTTGGAAATGGGGGTTGGGATGATCTGAAAAATCGCCAGTGGATCCCCGAACATTCCCATCTGCTTGCGTAAGTCGCCCGAGTCGCCACATCCCGCTGTGAATCCAGTGGCAACAGGAGGATCTACAAAGATGGCCCGAAATGAATACCAGTTATAATAACAATGATTTTTGACCATCTTTGTAGAACATGAAATAGTCATAGGATCAGTGAAATTAAATGACTTATTATAGATTTCATAGATCTAAGTCATTTAACTGAAATGATTTTTTTATAAGTCAGTGACATAACCTCATTTAATTTAGGGACATAAAGGGGACATAGTTTTTATATATCCCCATTGAAATAACAATGTTTTTTGACCGTTTAGCTTCCTGAGGTGATGACGGATAGCATGATGAAAGAGGCTCACGACTTCGAGACCTTTGACCGAAACTCAGGTGCTGGGATATGTTTGGTGTAGTGATTGATGGTTTCTAGCAGTTTTTGATGGTTTTTGGTGTAGTTCATGTAGTTCATGGTGATTTCCATTTTGGATTTCATGGAGTTTTTCTATGTTTTTCTGGGATTTTATGGGTTATAGAAACATGATGGAGATGGTTTTGTCTGATCTGAACATGTGATTTATTCTTAAGCCGTGGCCATGCAAATAATGTATGGCCACGTTGGGATAAGGAGCTCCAAATCATTCCCGAAACGTGCTCCAAATCCTCAGGAGGGGAACCCCAAAAAGGACCCCAAACATTGTACCCTCTGGTAATTTGTTACATATAGCTATTGAAAATGGCCATTTATAGTGAGTGTTCCCATTAAAAATGGTGATTTTCCATAGTTATGTTAGTTTACCAGAGGGTAACATAGTCTCAGGTTAGGTGTTTGGAACTGTGGTGGTGCCCCAGTTTGTGAACGCTAAGTTGGTGCGTTTATAAGTCCAATGGCTCACTAGGTTATTTTTTGGGTGGTTAATATAGAACTAGTATTCATGGGGATTATAAACCAACATTCACATCACGTTTGGGGGTACCACCTTGTAGGGTAAGATGTGGTAAACCGCTGTAAAAACTAGAAAAACGATCCTAAACATATTAACTTATATTAACATAGTCTCAGGTTTGGTGTTTGGAACTGTGGTGGTAAGATGTGGTAAACCACTCAGGTTGGAGTTTAACAAATGGTAAAAGCCATGGAAAACCCACCAAAGTCGGCCTGAAGTTGTGGGATATCATCCCACCGCAACGATGATGAATAGGCATTCAAAATATCTTAAATTACCATCAGATAATGATTCATTGGATTTTAGGGCATGTTGTTCATTGTATTCCTCCAAGTCTAATGAAACATATCTTAGAATATCATCTGAAAAGGATATGATGTGATTGGATTTTAGGGCATGTTGTTCATTGTATTCCTTCAAGTCTAATGAAACATATCTTAGAATATCATCTGAAAAGGATATGATGTGATTGGATTTTAGGGCATGTTGTTCATTGTATTCCTTCAAGTCTAATGAAACATATCTTAGAATATCATCTGAAAAGGATATGATGTGATTGGATTTTAGGGCATGTTGTTCATTGTATTCCTTCAAGTCTAATGAAACATATCTTAGAATATCATCTGAAAAGGATATGATGTGATTGGATTTTAGGGCATTTTGTTCATTGTATTCCTTCAAGTCTAATGAAAACTATCTTAGAATATCATCTGGAAAGGATATGATGTGATTGGATTTTAGGGCATGTTGTTCATTGTATTCCTCCAAGTCTAATGAAACATATCTTAGAATATCATCTGAAAAGGATATGATGTGATTGGATCTTAGGGCATTTTGTTCATGGTGATTAGCCAAGTCTAGGTCAGTCTTGGATGGCATCAATGGGATTATCTATGTTCACCAGCTAAGAAATTAGCTTTTTCTTTGCAGGTTGTCTAATTTGGCCATGTGTTGTTCATTGTGATTACCCTCTGGTAATTTGAGATAGCTATTGAAAATGGCCATAGAAATAGATAATTTACATTGGTTTACCTATTAAAAATGGTGATTTCCCAGTTCGTTATGTCACAGTTTACCAGAGGGTACCCAATAGTAATCCCATGGAGACCTGGACAAACGTCAGATGATCAAGCAATAAATAAATCAATATAAATCGTATGTAAATGGATCGATGCAGGTAGGTTTTTGTGAATATATTTTTGGTCAAAAATAGTTTGATACTTCACGCTCAACAATCTTAGCTGGAAATCTAGGTCAATCTTAGATGGATACAAACTAATCCTTTAGTCTTTTGGTATCAATGGGAATATCTACGTTCACCAGCAAAGAATTTAATGTTTTGCAGGGTATCTAAGATTGGCAATGAAATGGAGACATTGTGGTTGTTTCCCAAGATTCAAACATGCCATGTTTGACCCAACCTCCCAGATCCACAAACGCCGCTGTCAGATTTCCGAGCCATGAAATTTATCTCTCGTTGTATGGAGGACTGGTGGTGCCGAAATGCCAGGCTGAATATGTTCCTTGTTTCCCTTATCCTATACAAAGTGGGGCCCCCGTTTACGATAACTAAGGTGGTAAACACAACTCCAATAACTATGGTTTATGAGATGTGTAACTAAATTAATGGGATTTATTATAAACTAACTGCATTGAATGAATATCATGATATTAACGCCGGATTTTGCTAAACACCCACGCCGGATTTTCTATGCGGGGATCCCAAAACAGAGATATTCCACAGACTAACCACCAGAAGGGCATGAGTTGCACGGCATGAGTGTATGCATATATATTTATTATTGTATTTATATTATTTTATATTACATTAATTATATTGTATTTTATTATATTATATTATAGTGTATTTTATTATATTGTATTATATTATATTATATTTTATTTTATTGTATTATATTGTATTATATTGTATTATTTTATATCATATTATATTATATATATATATATACACATTATATATCATTATATTATATTATATATGTTGTACATAACTGTGGTATTTCAATGTATTTCATACAATTTATCATTCCCCATGCTTTATCGATTTCCTAATTAAATCGATCCCCAAGCGGGAGACTCACAACTCCATGTGCCATTGGGATCCCGCTGATTCAGCACTGCTTATTTTTTTTCTGGAAGCTCTGCCGAAAAAAAAAATGGATACTTATCTGGAATACATGTTTTTCAATATACCAATATTGCTGCATCTATTAATGGAACATATTACTGGTTGGTGGTTTGGAACCATGGAATTTTATTGACTTTCCATTCAGTTGGGAATGTCATCATCCCAACTGACGAACTTATATTTTTCAGAGCGGTTGAAACCACCAACCAGTTATGATGTAAACCCATTTTGACATCCAGACAAACTACCAGCAAATCTCCCCCAAGGGCTGGATGAACATTGCTACAATGTGGCCCCTCCCAGTGATGTTTGTTGGTTTTTAAAGTGAATGAACACTATGGTTATAGCATGTTATAGCTATCATAAACCATAGTTAAGTTTTTGGACTAATGTTCACCAACTTAGCTATTGTTTTTGGGGGGCCACATTGTGCATCCCATTTCAGCATCCAGTTGTTTAGCCCAACCCATTTGCCTTCAGTAAGTGGCTTAAACCCCAGTCATATGTAGGGGAGGGGCAATGTCCAACAACCGGGGCGAACCAACCCACTTAATTAGACTAAACCTCAAAAAAGATAAAACCATGTTTTTTCACTAATTATTTTCTTACATTGAGACTTGACTTTTCCGCACCTTCCCTTCCATAACTTGAGTAATTTTTGGGCCGAACTCCCGACCATTCCAACCCACCATGTCTCGCGAGAACACTCGAATTCCCTTTTTGGTGGCCACCTGCTTGGGTACCGTCGCGATGATCACAACCATGGTGATGTGCATCCTCCACTCTCGGGCGTCACTGGGAGAGATGATACCTGATGGGGGGATGGAGCGGTAGAAATTGGATACCCTCTGGTAAACATACAAAAAGCTATTGAAAATGGCAATTTATAGTGGATTTTCCCATTAAAAATTGTGATTTTCCATTGCTATGTTAGTTCACCAGAGTGTAAACGTGTTGTTCTATGTTTTGAAGTCAGATCGTTGACAGATTGACATTTTTTGTTCTGGAAAAATTGAGGGTGACCTAAATCCTGGATTTGCGGTTGAATATAGAACTATAGTGGTTGCCAATTCATTCGTGGGGATTAGCAAACATTCATGTATTCTTTTTTGGGTAGTGGGACCCCCAAAATTAAGAATTGGTGGACTGAAGAATTTGGAGGATCATCCGACTTAGTGGTGAAGAACCCTGGTGATCCTAAGTCCTCCAAGTGGATTATCCCATTTTTAGATGGGCGAACTAACATGAACTAACCCCAGTTGCTAACAATTTACTCAGCGGGATGGTCCTCCATAACGTGCAGCCGGATCCGCTGAACCTGAAGCGACCGACCAGCTGTATATTTCAATGAAATCTGCGTGAACTTCCTCGAAGAAATGTGATTCATCATATATTCAGCATCTTAATCATTCATTCTCTTGTGCCCAAAAAAGTCAGCAGAGACGTGTTTTCCCAAAATTCGAGGACAACCTTTTGGTATTTTGTCAAGACTCGAACTTGTATTTGCCAAAAAGCAGGAAATCTTCCAAGAACTTGCCACACTGGCATGAGACTGGTTCAAACATGTTCAAACTGTTAACCCTCAAAAGATCCAAAAAGTGGATGTTTCAATGTATGCTCTCATAGGGTTCACGGTGGCAAAGAAGTTCCCAGGAACCCTCAAAAGTACGCGGGCGGTTCAAGACATTTAAAAGAAGCAACAACGGGGTTTAAATGGGGATACCCAATAGCTGGATGGTTTATTTCATGGAAAATATAGAATCTATAAATGGATGATGCAAGTGGGTACCCCTATGACTTAGGAAACCCCCACATGACCATTTGAGGCTGGATCGGAGGCCGATTTGCATGTTGAGGAGCTACTACCATGGAGCTTTGGTTTCGACAGACTAGCACGATGGTTAGGAGGGGGACGGAGGGGGATTAGCCCCAAAATTGGCAGTTGTGATGTGGGAATTACATGGAATTACAGCAACTTGCCCAGATTGGGTCGTTGAAGACCAGATTGGGTCGTTGAAGAATTGAATCCACGGCCACTGAGGCATACGGCATACCTATATCAAGCAATGAATCTGGTGCAGGGTAGAAAAAATGAGCCAATTCTCATGGGTGGAAGAATCCACCCACGACTTGACATGTTACCCTGTTGGGTGTTTTTAAACAAACATCGATGTGGCGAGTTACCCATGGGACCCATGGGTTTTCCTATAGGAAATTATGATCTACATATGGTGTTATTTGTTTTTACAGATACGTGTTACCCGGCCCGGTAAACTAACATTTTGCTATGGAAAATCACCATGTTTAATGGGAAAATCTACTATAAATGGCAATGTTCAATAGCTTTTTGTATGTTTACCAGAGGGTAGTTGACCACTCAAAACCCTAGGGTAGCCATCTCCTGAGAATTTGGAAATCGATGGGCTTTTTCACCGGAAATGATTTGGGACGGCTGTTGGCCGGTAAAAAAAGATGACATGGATAGTTTAATCATGATATCTGGATAAATTTGATCACGACCTCACTGGTCTCCCTCACTGGAATCATGGTTAAGAAGGGAAATCATCCCCAAATGGGCCTTAATTCAGGTTAGTGGAATATTATAATTTACCCAGATGATATGATATGACATGATATGATATGATATGATATGACATGATATGATATGATACCATCTGAAAAGGATATGATATGATTGGAATTTAGGGCATTGTGTTCATGGTGATTGGCCAAGTCTAGGTCAATCAACTGGATGGATAGAAGCTAATAGTTTAATCCTTTAGTCTTGGATGGTATCAACGGGATTACCTAGGTTCACCAATGTTCACCAGCTTTTTTTTTCGCAAGATGTCTAAGATTGGCCATGAAGTTTGATCCTATTCTGGTGACACAACCATTTGGAAAGCGAATCCCGATGAATCCAGCATGTTAGAAAGGACAACCGTCTGAAAATGTTGCTTCTTCAATTTCCTGATGCTCAAAGTTCCCAATGAAAAAGACATGTCAAAGTACAACCCATCCAAAAAACATCGTGTTTTTTCATTGAGTGTCTTTTTTGGGATCCACTGATCAGCCACATTTAGTTTGCGAATTGACATAAATTGAGTTTGGATCTTTTTGTTTTAGTTTATAGTTTAGTTTGATGATAAGTGAACTGATGAACTGGTGAATCTGAGATACCTGTCAAAACATGAGTTTTTAGCTGCTTCGTACGTTTCACCATTGATAGCAAAAGATGAAGCACTAAAGTATCTAACAAATGTTCACCCAGTGATAAAGCAAGTTTGTTTTAGATAAATTTAATTGAATTTAGTTCAGTTTGCAAAGTTAACTGATGTTAATAGGGTGTCGTGATTTATTCATAAAATGGAACCATCGCGACGTAAACCAAGAATTGCCAAGAACACCGTCTATGGTTCAGCTTAGTTTGTTTTTATTCACCATACAAATAAACATCGTAATCTAAACCTAGTTGGGTTTACAAAGTTAATAGACGTTAATAGCAAACCAATGCTTGCGAACCAAGGTTGACATCTGCAGTTTAGTTAACTAACACACTTTTCATAGATTTTATCCAATATATAATATATGTTAATAGGATTGGCCAGTCTTGCTGCAAACCATAATTTGAAAACACTGTCATCCAAACAGCAAATGTTATTGTTGTGTTTATTCTTTAGGATTAGCCAATTTTTAGCGGTCGTTCATTTTCAATGGTCCAATGGTCCATTTTCAATGGAAAAACCATGGTTATGAATTAGTATTCCAATGGTCCAATGGTTATATATAATAAACTAACCATGGTTAATTAACCTATTGACCTAAAACGCCTTTTTCATTTGATCCAAACTAAAACTTACCGATCGGCGCACCAAGAAGATCGACACACTCCACCGGCCTCGGCCCAGGAATGCTGGTTTTTCCCATGGCACCTCGGTGGACAGGTCACTGCATAGCTCTTGAAACAAAGATGGGGATAGGAGTACCTCTGGAATACATATATACATGATATATATAATATATATATATAGATACACGTATACATATACATATACATATATATATACATACATATTTATATGTATATATATATATTATACTGCAGTATACCTATGATTTAATGTTAGAGCAATGAGATCAACGCTGCACCTGAGCGGTGGCGAGACTAGCCAACTTGTTTGTTCAAGTCCCAGAAATAATCGTCGTCTTCGCCGAGCTTATTTTCTAGGTCAATCTTGTATGGGTAGAAACTAATCCATGGTTGGTGGTTCGGAACATTTGAATTATGTTTCCATATATTGGGAATAATCATCCCAACTGACTATATTTTTCAGAGGGATTGAAACAACCAACCAGATCCTTTAGTCTTGGATGGTATCAATGGGATGATCTACGTTCACCAGCTAAGAATTTACCATTTTTTGCAGGGTATCTAAGATTGGTTGGACTCTAGCTCTACGTCCATTGATGTCTGGACATGGACGCCATCGACCAAGAAGAACAATTTCCCCCAGAGGCAAGAATGCTGATGTATGGAATGCTGTCAATGTACCGCCTACTCAGTACCTGTCGCGACCTCCGCCGTGGCTTACAGCTTGCCAGCACTGGAGTAACTCGACTCCATCCTGATGAAGCTGAAGGCTTCCGCAACCGGTACTCTATCCTTGAACAGCAGTTACTGTCGGCTGAAGCCACTGCACGAGACAGAACCACACCGGCAGTTCGAGGAGTGTGGGTCAAGGATTTGTACCTAGTGGTACTCACAAGGCCTGGTTACGGATGCCTCAGGCGTCGCAGTTAAAGTCACGGCTTGGCAACTTCGCATTGCTATCAGGACTGTCTATGTACCTGCAGTGTTTTCGGGGTCTCGACGACATCACACTGCCGGTGTCGTTGAATTCCTCTTCATACTCCTACGCATAGCCCCTCCATTCAATGGGAGATCTCCAGGATCCTAAAATGGAGGTACGTAAACGTACCATTTTTTTGGACATATGAATTGTGGGGATATCCCTGAAATTTCGGCCTCAAAAATAGGCCTTATATTAATGGTACTCGCACCTCCAATCTTCATCGGTTCCTGTTGCATGGCCATTGATCCAATGATGTTGATGTCCTCCCTTTACGTTCTACAAACCAGGCGACCAAAGGATACCACACCGTGTAGTTCCCACGAGACGGTGGTGCCGCAGTTCGTTAGCTCGCTAAGTTGGTGGGTGCAAATAAGTCCAATTTCACGTTTGGGTTGATGAATGGGGGTTATATCTATAGTATTCATGGGGATTATAATGGTTTATAAACCAACAAACATCACTATGGGGGCACCACCTTGCAGTCCAAATATTGACCTGGATTTGCCGAAGGTAACGTTGATGTTTCGGGAAATCCGTTCCTGGAATGGCCATCCTGAAAACTAACAGTTTGATGTGGAAAAGCGACCATTTTCTAGATCATTCTCCTTGGGAAATCATAGGTTTTCCAAATCTATCACTGGTTGGTGGTGACTGGAACATTTGAATTATGTTTCCATATATTGGGAGTTTCATCATCCCAACTGACGAGTTGTCCATCATTTTTCAGAGGGTAGGGATACCACCAACCAGTTATAGTTTATCCAATAACTATGGTTTTCCAATAAACATTATTAACCATCATTAAATCACCATTAAGTCAAGATATTGTCTATTATTGAAACCACCAACCAGTAATGGTTATGTCGTTGTTTAAAAAAACCTTTCGTTGCCATCGACAAAGCCCAAGTTTCACTGGTGATCAACTTTGGTCCAAAGAGTACACCAGGATCACTCCACATAAAGTGAAAAGTCACCAAACTTATAAGCCATTTGTCAAGCCATTTATAAGTGGCATATAGTGATATGATAGTGGTTTATGGTGGCTTATCACATCTATAAGTGCTTAGCCACCAAACTTCTTATCCCATTTACAGATGTGATGAGCCATTTATAGATGTGATAAGCCACTTGTGGGACTTTTTTTCTCTACCCTCTGGTAATTTGTTACATAGCGAACTGGAAAATGGCCCATCGAAATAGTTGGTTTAGCTATGAAAGATGGTGATTTTCCATAGTTTTCTGTATGTTTACCAGGCCGGGTAACCAAGGTTATGTTCACCAGTTTTCAGAGGACCCTGGGATGATCCTCCAAGTATTCGAGGTTTGGGCTATCTGTTGCTGGTTCGCTCTCTTTTGCCGCTTGGCAGCGACCCGGTGACCCCCCAAAAAACACCTGCAAATTGGTTACCCAAATTGGGTGTCTGAAGGAGTTACTTTCCATACTTTCCAATTGCAAATTGGATTGTCAAAAACTGGATATACTGGGGATAATCCCAAATTATTCCTCAAATTATTCCACAAATATCCCCAGTATATCCCCTTGGTTTTGAAGCTATGGTTTCTTGGGATTCTTCCTAGAGAAAAATGGAATTTTGTTGAGGATATGGGAGATTTAATGAATGAATCTTGGTGTTTCAAACAAATACAAGGTGGTGCCCCCCAAGTTATAAGTTAGTTTCTAATCCCATTAACTATAAATAAACATAGACCCTGAAAATCACCAATTTTCAATGGAAACTAGTCTTCCAACCCCGATGACTGCCAGGGTCGAGCTGTTAATTTACCAGAGGGTATGTCTGAATATTTACCATCTGGTAATTAGTTTCATAGCGAACTGGAAAATGGCCCATTTAGTTCGTGGATTTACCCAGCTATAAAATGGTGATTTTCCATAAGTTTACCAGAGGGTAAAATGAATAGAAACTGAATCAAATGTGTTAATCCAATGTGTTAGAGGGGTAGGTCATGGTAGGTCAACCACCAAGCAGTTTAGAGTGTTTCTTTTGTTCAGCAATGGATTCATGTTTTTCTCTAAAAAGGCCACCTGGTACTGATTCTAAAAAGAGGGGCCCCTTGTTTTGGAAGCAAAAAAATTGCCATTTTGGAACCCTAAATACTAGGTCAATCTTAGATGGATACTTTAATCCTTTAGTCTTTTGGTAATAATGGGAATATCTATGTTCACCAGCAAAGAATTTATTTTTGTTGCAGGGTATCTAAGATTGGCAATGATATTTGGCCATTTTGGAAGCCTATTTACGTAAAAACATGTTGTGAGTAGATTTCCTAAGAACCAGCCAAAGCTTCAATTTGTATGTTCAAGGCCTTTTAAAAAGGGGCTGATGTCTACAACTCCAACCCGGGTTGTTTGATTCTTTAGGCACTATTCCATGTGCCTGCAGGTGAGGGTTCCTATTCTTTAGCGATTTTGTTTTGTGCCACAGGGCGTCCCACTAAAGAATCCAGACACCCGGGTCAGGGACCGAATACAAAGGGGGATGATAAATGATGGTTAGTAATTTCAGGGAATGGTCCGAGAACATTGTTATCCGTTTCCGGCTTACAGAGTCCATTTGCCCAGAATTTTAAAGACCTTGATAAACAGAAGCCATTGTTTTGTCAGCTGCTCAAAGAGACGTGTCCACTTGATTGCTTGCCCTTATCTTCCCATGAGTTGGTACAGTGCTGATTTTTGGTTGGTGAAATCATGATGAATTCCACATGTTTCAGTTCAACCTCTTCCATTTGCCTGCATATGGAGGTTTCCTAAGTCATGGGGGTACCCTAATATCTGCACGATTTATAATGGAAAAACCCTATAAAAATGGATGATTTGGGGGTACCCCCATTTCAGGAAACTCCCATATATGAGTAAATCCTGAACAGCTCCTGTTGGTGGAGTGCCATTGCTTTATGGTTTCATAATGGATATCCATTTCCTGAGTCCAAGTGAACACACGTTAAAATACCATGTTTGTCGATCTCTTAATGGCCACGTCTGATTTGGTCAAATCCTCAGCAAGTGTCCATGAACTTTGTTTAGAAAATGTTATAAACACATTTTTGGTTGATAGATTACCCTCTGGTAAACTAACATAGCTATGGAAAATCACTATTTCTAATGGGTAAATCCACTATAAATAGCAATTTTCAATAGCTATGTTAGTTTACCAGAGGGTAAGACTAAGACTTAAATGTGTCATGAGTCAGCGTCAATCCTTGATGATACTTCAATCAAGGTTGTCACGCAGCGGTGACAGTGGGACTCATAAATTTCGAGCTCTGAAGAGGCAGAGGCCGCTGGAGAAAACATCGAGCTGGTAGCTTTGGTCTGAGAACTTTTCCATTTTGAGCTCTTTTTCAATCCTCACCGTGTGGGTTCTCTTTGGCTCCGCCATGTGTTGCTATTGGGCTCCAGTTGGTATTTCTCAATCACGGTGCACAATCTGAACAAGAGACTCAAGCTGACGCCAATGAAACATCCAATGACGCCCCTCTTGCCGCTCGTTCACCAAGTCCGGCCCCCCACTTCCTCCTGATGATTCATCGCTGTGCTCGGACCTCAAGTACGTTCGCGATTTGTCTTCTTTGGCCTCTCTTCCGCAGATTTTGCGGTTGACACGTCGCAGATTTCCACGGAAATCACTTCGCACTGCGGCAGCACTGAGCTTGAGGTTGCCTATATTACGAAAGTGAAAGCACCCACACCGTTTGTTAACTTTTTGCTGATAGGTACCTCTGGTAAACTAACACAACTATAGAAAATCAAAATTTTTGTTGGGTAAATAAACTATAAATGGCAATGTTCACTAGTTATGTTACAAATTACCATAGGGTAAATCCCATTACATCCCATGGAAAATCACCATTAAATCACCATAAATCACCATGAAAATATCCATATGTTCAATAGCAAATGACCAGTAACGGGTAACGGGTGCACACTCAGACCTTTTGTGAACATCCTGCCGCGAACGAAGCTAGGCCCACTGGTGGCTCCTTTGTCAGAGCTCTTCATGGGTCAGAGCGAGGCGGCTAGTGAAATCTTTGCTGATTAGTTTAAGCCCCACGAAAACATTAGTGCTTTTATCTACCATAAACTATGTTTATGTGTATATGACCATTAGTTACTGTACGTATATTAATGTATATATATATACCCTATGCTTCCTCGACCATATCTGGTATAGCCTCGAACATACTGGGAATGCTCGAACATACCGGGTTTCGCTCGAACATACCAGGATAACACCTCGGACATACCAGGAAGCCACGAACGACTATACCGGGAGTGGCCTAAGGGTTATACCAGGATATAGCAGGATAGTGGCCCAAGGAATAGCAATAGGATATGCTAAGACCCCTTTGGATTGCCCACAAATGCCCAGCAGAAGAAAAAACGATGTAGATTTTTTTCTTGGAAACGAGCATGCGCTCGGGAGTTTGAATCAGGATATCAGAAAGATTCAGAGAATTTCAGCAAGAAAAAAAATGACATGTTGAAAGCACAGGGAGCCGAGGACAACCCGAGGACAACTCGTGGAACGCCCATGCTGGGACGTGGAACGCCTATACTGGGACGTGGAACGCCTATAGTGGGACGTGGAACGCCTATACCGGGACATGGATTCGGGGATCACAAAAAAATCTGAAATCGTTTTTGTTTTTTTTTTGATGGCTGTTTGTTTTGACTTTTGGCGGTTTGTTTGTGCCCAGCTTCAATGAGCAAACACGAGGTCGGGTTCGCGCACACAAATGAAATAGCTTGCAAAAAACAATCTAGATTGCGCAGGGGATGGTTCACAGACTATACGTATGGACTCAAGGGGCTTAGCGCCTATACCGGGAAATCATGAACGCCTATACAGGGATTTCATGAAAGCCTATACTGGGAAAACTGCTCGCCTATAACAGGAAAACATCCTGGTATAGCCTCCAAAACCCCGGTATAGGCTAGCACGTAACGACTATACCAGATATGTCCTTTGGAAGCATAGGGTATATAATGAGCTAAGTATAGCTAAGTTGGTTTTTGATTTTATATTGCCTTTGTCATAGGTATAGGAATAGTCGTGGTTGCGGTTATGTTTGTACGAGGTGGTGCTCCCCCATCTACGGTGGTCTTACCAGCAAGATATATGGAATTAGCCATCAAAGATATGGCTTGAAAGCTTGGTGATGGATAGTACTAAGGCACCTAGGTCAATCAACTGGATGGGTAGAAACTCATCCGAACTAGTCTTGGATGGTATCAATGGGATTATGTACTAACATAGCCCAGTTACTAGCCACTAGGTTAATCTTAGATGGGTAGAAACTAATCCGTTAGTCTTTTGGTATCACTGGAATTATCTACGTTCACCAGCTAAGAATTTGTCATTTCTTGCAGGGTATCTAAGATTGGCACTGAGTAGTGCAATGTAATCTTTACTTCTCAGCCCAATAGTCAATGGTTAGTTGGGATAGATGGGGGAATAGAAGGAGGATTTGCTCTGAATACCCTCTGGTAAACGTTTACATAATTATGGAACATCACCATTTTTCATGGGAAAACTCACTATTTCTATGGCCATTTTCACTAGCTATTTTGACATAACCAGAGGATATACGGAAGAACTGAAAAATTGGGGATGAATGGCGAACCATAAGTACTGGCAAGGTGAGGCCCACTGGCTTTCCGTCAGTTGATGGATAATACAACCATGATTTATGGTAGATATACCATCTGGTTATTTAACATAGCCATGGAAAATCCCTTATAAATGGAGGTTTATAGCTGGGAAAATCATCTATAAATGGGCCATTTTTCACGGCTATGTTAAATAACCAGAGGGTAACTATAACTGGCTGGTGGTTTGGAACATGTTTTATTTTCCATAATATATGGGATAATCCATCCCATTGACTAATATTTTGCAAGATGGTTCAAACCACCAACCAGATAATATAGTTGACAAATTGTACAGGCCTAAAAACTTTTGTTTTCAGGGCACCACATGGTATTTGGTAGATCATGGACAAACATGCAATGTTATATCTTTGGATGTACCCTTTGGTAATTTAACATAGCTATTGAACATACCCCACTTAGTTCGTTGATTTACCCATCAAAAATTGTGATTTTCTATGGTTATGTTAGTTTACCAGAGGGTACCTATCAAAAAAAAAGTTGACAAATGGTGTTGACTTATGACACATTAGTCTTAATCTATCAACCAAAAATGTGTTTATAACATGTTCTATACAAAGTTAATGGACACTTGGCTTAGTGCTGCACTTGCTGTGACAACTGTGACATGTTGCTGCGACACCTGTAGCTTCACGGCATGCTTCGTGCGCTATGCAGTTTAGAATTTTTGGTGCATTGTTGCGGATGTGGTGCAACTCACACTTTAAATATCTTTCAATTCGATACAACCTGGAGTTTTGTGTGGAATGTTGCATGCAATCTATCTATCAATCTATCAATCTATCTATCTATCTATCCATCTATCAATCTATCTATCTATTACTACTACAACATTTGGGTGTGAAACGGATGTAGATAAGCGGGGGGATCAGCCACCAAGTCTTGTGGCACCAAGAGAATCGTCACCCAACAATGCTACAGGATGGGGCCTTGAGTCGAGCGATAGCATGAACCGAAACGCCGTAGAAAAGTGGCTGAAAAAACGATGGTTTATGGTAGATATAACATGATATTTCACGAACTATAGTATTCATAGGGATGTTTTCATAGTTTTTAAACCAACTTATCACCATATTTCCATGATATCCCCATTAACAATGGGATTTCCATGATGTCATGGTTTGTTTCAACCAACGTTCACATCACGTTTGGGGGCCGTACCGTCGTGTACGGCGATTGGCGATTTCCTACTTATCTAGGTCAATCAACTGGATGATTAATGGGATGATTCATGGATGGTTAATGGATATTTCATGGATGGTTTACTAGGTCAATCAACTGGATGGGTAGAAACTCATCCGAACCAGTCTTGGATGGTATGGGATTATCTACGTTCACCAGCTAAGAATTTGTCATTTCTTGCAGGGTATTGGGCAGATTGGCCATGTAATGAACAAATGTTGTATATCAAAGGCGAGCAAAGTTTACAAGTGTTTTTCGGGGCTTTGATGTCAGAAGTTTCATGGAAAAAAACATGCGGAATTTTTTCGCCAGGCTTATGCGATCTACATCTTCTTGGTGATCATGTATATGAATCTTGGTGAAAAATCACATGGGTCCGTGGGTCAACCGTTGTTGACATGTTAAATGGAGGTGTCCAATTTCATGGGGGACCACAAAATGGATGGTTTATAATGGAACCCCTAGCTAACCCACTTACTAAGTTCAATGGATTGGCTTGTTTGGGAAAATCTTAACCGGAAACCAGAATTGTTGTTTCCCATCGAAAAAAAGGGGCTTTCCTGTAATGTTTCCCTTAAACCAATCCATTGTCATGGGTCCGTGGGTCAACCTTTGTTAAATATCTTCGTACTTTTTTATCGTTTGCCTGGTTGGTGGTTTCAATCATTTTTTATTTTCCATAATATATTGGATAATCCTTCCCATTGACTTTCATATTTTTCAGAGGGGTAGGTATACCACCAACCAGTTTGCAATCAATGCTAATTAGTTTGTTTCAATGGTAATTTGTGGGGATATTCCCTTACATGGCCCAAAAGATAGGCCTTATACATGGTAGGTACCTCCAAGTTTCATCGGTTCCTGTTGCATGACCATTGATTCAATCCAATCTTGACCTAGAAACTGGTTCAAATGCCATTTCTCATCACCATATTCCATGATATTCCCATGAAATAACCAGTGATAATCTTCCATGGGTTTTCCCAGGATATAGCAGGAGCTGATTGTTTGGCAGGTAGGATTCACCATGGGTGAGATATCAACAGCCCAACCGGGAAGTCGATCAATGCTGTGGAGGGGATTGACGACTTTGTATGAATTGATGGAGAGAGTCACAAAACAAGTCGTCACAAAACACAATATAACAAAAACCATAGGAAAACCATAGGAAAATGGTGATTTCATGGGATTTATAGCTGATTTATGATAGCTAAGTTGGTTAATAAGTCCAATTTCACTATGGTTCATGGTAGATATAACTATAGTTAATGGGGTTTATAAACCAACTTATAACTGGGGGGCACCCACATCGTAGGGATTTTTTAACGGTGATATTTCATGAAATAGTGAGCCAATATAATATGTGCGTGTGTGTTTGTCTCTGCAAATATGGTATCCACTTCCGTAATCAACACGTGGCAATGGAAAATCTTCATGTATAGATAATGTTCAAAAACCTCCAGTTATTACCGGAGGGTAACCCCAAAGTGGCCAATTCAATGGGGATTTTATGGGATTTTTATTCGGATAGATCATGAACATGTGGCAACTGGGCCGCGGGAACCATCAGAGGGATTGTCATCCAAGTTTCCTGGGACGATTGGGACGATTTGTCATGTACATAAGGTTGAACAAAACCAAAAAAAAAACACCCATCCGTCAGTTGCTGAAACCTCAGTGACTTCCACCTTAAAAAAAAGATGTGGATCATCATCCAATACATTTTTCTGCTCATTTGCTGGCATCAAAGGTCTCGCAATCCTGCATCTAACGCACATTCTTTACCCTCCAGAAAATTAACATAGACCCTGCCAGATAGGGGTTGGAAGATTAGTTTCCATTAAAAAATGGTTATTTTCAGGGTCTATGTTAATTTACAAGAGGGTAATGGGGAAAAAGTTGCCAAAAGTGGAGTGACCTCCGTCATGACAAAAAAATCTGTAATTCGGACCATACATCTATTGCAGGCCACCAACTAGCGTTTGTAAAGAAAAATGCGAGGAAGCGCCTACACAATGAGAGAGAACGCATTCTTTCGGAAGTGCGGGTGGATCATACACATACAATATATATATATAGTCTTTGGACATGAAGAGAATCATGCATGGTCAATGTTTCCGGCATCTTCCGACTGCCCTTGGCCGATGATTTGTTAAAATTGGGGTCAGCTTGGCAATATCAGCTTGAATTATCTTGAGTTGTTGTTTTTCCTGCTTTGAAGTAGTTTACCCTTAAGTCACTCAATTACTTTCTTCCTCCTTTGTGCTTTGACCCACCCTTGCCAAAACCCTTGCCACGTCCATGCTGTGACCAAGCGTTGTGGACTGATTCGCAGCAAGGGCATGAACTATGTAGAAGAACACATACATATAACTTGGTAAATTATGACAACCTCACTGCGACCTCACTATAATCATGGTTTTTATAGGGAAACCATCCCCAAATGGCCCAACATTTCAGGTTAGTGAAATATTTTAATTTACCCAGATATAACCAGCGAAAGTCGGTCATGCGTAGCATTGACTGGTTCCAGGGGCCTTGTCCCCAACGTATCCCGGACATGCGATTGGAGCCGGTGGACTTAGCCAAAAAAAGTAGGGTTACTGGGAACATGGTTATACATACCTACAGTATGTACGTTTGAGATGATGTTAGTTATAGTATGTTATTTTTATATTATATGATGTTGGTTTCTTGAAAGGGCACAAAAAAAACAACTGTTCATCACTGTCTCAATGATTTGAAGGAGTGTTTAGGCACCAAATATCTGCAATTTTCGGCCCCATTCTCAACCAATCCCACTTCAAAGGCGACTGAATCAACCGTCCCCTGCATAAATTCGGGCATGATGCCAAGTTCATAATCCACCAATCGATTCAATCGACTTGGAGGTGTCGACTTCCTAAATGGGTAGATGTTCACCAGCTAAGAATTAATACGGTGGTGTACACTTGGATGTTCACCATAAGAATGTTCACCATAACTGGCTAATACACCAGCTAAGAATGTATTAACTGTTCAAGTCGACACCAGCCAAGTCACACCACTTCCTAATCTTGGATGGTATTAATGGGAATATCTACGTTCACCAGCTAAGAATTTACTTTTTTGCAGGGTATCTGGCAGATTGGCCATGAAAGGCAGCCTTTGATTATGGCTAAGGTTGGTGTCCATCGAAGCTTGTAAGACGAAACTGGAGCAAAGTGACCCAGGACGCTGGGGACAGCAGGTTAAGATGAGCGTTGCGATCTACCCTGGTCGGTTGATGATTTAACCGTCATTTAATAAGGGTTTCAACCATTTTCAACCATTAAAATGTGGGGATAAGTGGGGATAGAAGTGATGGTTTATGGTGGCTATTTCTGTAGTTGTCTATAGTTATATATACATAATTCGATGTCAAAAAAAATATATATATATATTAATGGAAACTATACACCAACAGACGTACCTAGTTCAGCAGTGGCTGCGATCTACCCGGTTGGTTGATGAGGACGGTTCGAAGATTTGACTAACCATTACCTTCTGGTAAACGTTTACATAACGAACTGGAAAATCTCCATTTCAAGTAGGTAAATCAACTATAAGATGGCCATTTTCAATAGCTATGTTAAATTACCAGAGGGTATATAAATTGCTCAGCTTCTATAGTTTTTGTTGGGGTTTTATGTGCACATCGAACATCGATTTCGAGGGTATGAAACAGTTTTTTCCAGGGACGACTTTTGGGTGCACTGAGATGGGATTGTTTGAAGGGTACGGCTGGTGGATGATCCCACAAATTTTCAGTAAGTGGGTTAGTTCACCCCAGTAAAATTTGCATGGTATACGGTATAAGTAGAGTTACCCTCTGGTAAACGTTTACAGTTTGCTATTAAAAATGGCCCAGTCGAATAGTGGATATACCCACTAATAGCATGGTGATTTTCTATAGCTATGTAACAGTTTACCACCTATTTCACCTATTTCACTGTGGTTATAAGCCACTTACTTTATTCGTGAGATGATCCACTCAGTAACTTACTTAGCAAGGTGGCTAGAGCATGGTATCACTGGTGAATGCTAGCTAGCTGGTTGGTGGTTTCAAACATGAATTTTATGTTCCATTTCATATATGGGATGTCATCCGAAACCCATTGACTTGAACTCCATCATTTTTCAAGATGGTTAAAACATGTTATTGCACCACCAACCAGCTAGGTGTTGCTGCTTTTTGTAGCTTTGCCACACGTTTGTTTGGGACCCATTCTATTTGGGGTTAAGGCAAGTCTTCATGGGTTTTTCACACTTGGTGGCCTTCGCGCCTTCGCACGATGCTGGTACAGCGAGCTGAATCTTCTGCCGGTGATTTCACAGAGAAATCCCATGAAAAATGTGAGTTTTGGCCACAGGATGGGGCCCTCCAGTTATAAGTTGGTTTATAACCCCATTTAAATATAGTTATAAGTACCATACACTATGGTTATTATAGTTATAAACCAACTTAGCTAACTATGGGGCCCCATCCTGCAAGGATCAGACGAATTCAAAGGGTCAAACGTCTCATTTTTTGGTTAGCTCGTTGCTTGGAGCTCTGCGACGTTTCTGGCCCAGCGCCTTGGATGTAGGAGGTTAAAAAATCCATCAGCCATGTGAACAACATCCCATTTCTGTGGGGATATTCCGCAATGGTGGTAAATAACTCCAGTAACTTGGGTTTATGATGGTTTATGGTAGATATATCAAACTAGTCAATGGGGTTAATGAACTAACTTATAACTATGGGGGCACCACCTTGCATAATTTCTGTTTTTTCATCCATTTACGACACGCGGGGCCCTCACCTTGAAGTACAAACTGCCGACAATACTGAGCTTTAGCGGCTCAGAAGTCTTGAGATGTTTGACAGGAGAATTCTCTAGAACAGCCATCAAGTGTTTATACCATCAAAGAATGTGAACATTTTGTGCATCACAGGGGACAATCATCAGCATTTGGGGCAACCCACTGCTGTTTGTTTGTTGATTGATTCTATGTTTGCGATGTTGATGCGAAAATAGATAGGAACCTCGCTGGCCCATTGTTTGCGTGGTAAGGGTAGCAAATCTAAGTTAGAACAGATGGGTAAGCCGACTGGCGAACGGTTCTTTCGAACCACATCACTAAAGTAACTCTGAACTACAGGAAAGCTCAACGTGTGGCTATCCGCTTCTTTATTTCGTACAGGATATACATCAGCTTGTTCATCACCATGACGACTGGGACCATGCTATGGTCATAGGATACCTCGGCCACTTCATTCAGTTCCCCTTCATGAATTCCCAGATGTGTCCTTCGTGAAGCAATCCAGACTGCCAGATCCTTCGAGAACTCACCATTACGCAACAAATAGCCATTTGAACCATGAAAAATACCATAGTTGATGGATGTTGATGGGTTATGAAATGATAAATGGGGATTACAATAGACCATAATAGGGATAACTATTAACATTATTAACCAACCAGCATCATGGGATGGAACAACGGGGTATTTTTCATGGTTCATTTAAATTTATTTGATTCATTTTCCCGAGCTTTAGAATCCTGATGTGACTGCCAGCAGGTTTCTGTTCAAGCGGTGATACGTACCCTCTGGTAAACTAACATAGCTATTGAAAATTGCAATTTATAGTGGATTTACCCATTAAAAATAGTGATTTACCATAGCTATGTTAGTTTACCAGAGGGTATCCAAGATTGTGTCTTGAGTCTTGCCTAAATCAGTTTCAATCCTGGCCTTTGTTGCTATGAAAAATCTCCAAGTTGGTTCATTATAAATCATGTTACAAGGTGGTACCCCCCAGTTATAAGTTGGTTTATAATCCCCATTAACTATAGATATAACTAACATGATATAACCCCCTAATCAACCCTAGTTATTGGACTTATAAACCAAGTTATTACATCTCCAAGTTGGTTCATTATACCCTCTGGCAATGTAACATAGCTATTGGAAATAGCCATTTAGTTCGTTAATTTACCTATGAAAAATGTTGATTTTCCATAGTTATTCAACAGTTTACCAGAGGGTGAATCGGTTCATCATGCGGTTTCAATATTTTCCATGTTACATTTTAAACCATGTTACCCTCTGGTTATTTAACATAGCCATGGAAAATGGCCCATTTATAGATGATGTTCCCAGCTAGATACCTTCATTTATGAGGGATTTTCCATATATTTATCCATATATGTGGAATATTTTTCCATATAGTGGGAATAATAATCCCAACTGACTTTCATATTTTTCAGAGGGGTAGGTCAACACCAATCAGTAAATTATGTAAAACATATTCTCCTAACCATCTTGCGGTTCATGTTACAGTCGCGCGCCGTTCAGATCGCGGGCCAGGCCAGACATCCCTGCGATCAGAGATGGAAAATATGGGCCAAACCATCATGGACGCAGGGGAACCTGGGAGTCAATCTTACCATGGGAAAACCATGGGAAAACCGTGATTATCACTGGTTATTTCATGGGAATATCATGGAATATGGTGATGAGAAATGGCATTTCAACCAGTTTCTAGGTCAATCAACTGGATGGGTAGAAACTAATCCGAACTAGTCTTGGATGGTATTAATGGGAATATCTAGGTTCACCAGCTAATAATTTGCCATTTTTTGCAGGGTATCTGGCAGGTTGGCAATGGGACCAAGAGATGTTTGGGAAATGTTTGGGATGTTTAAACCTTTGATAAACTAACATAGCTATGACAGTTCGAAAATCATTGGAAATCAATAGTTTTGATAATTAGGTAAATCAACGAACAATTTGCAATTTTCTACATCACTCTCTTAAATGACCCAACAGGGTAGCCCTGATATATTGGGAAGAATACCACCTAAAATGACCGTATTTTTTGACGGGTTGGGGATGCTTCCCTGAAGGCTGGGCCCAGCTGAAGAATTTTTGAATCATTTGTCTATGGTTGTCTTTATTAAAAAAGCAAAGATTTCAGCTACCAAGAATATGGGAATACAATTCTAATGCATGATGCTTGGTTGATGGTGGTTTAACCGCAAATTATTGCGTAAATCTTGGTGAAGGGGACTTTTGCTTATTTGTCATTCATAAGCATATTTGCATTTATATATTTGTATATATGTACCTGACCAGCTTGTTTCTTTTTTTCGGGGTATCTCACATGTGCGAAGCATTTTTTTCGGCTATAAGTAGGGTGAACTAACACCCAACTAGAAACCATGCAGTCTATCCAACATTAACCATGAAGGAAGAGGCAAGACTGGGTCTACTGGGTCGACGCACTGGTGGTTGGATTAGGGGTTACGCTTCTATCAAACATGGCGGGCCCAGCGGGAATTATCACATTACCATTCGATTCTTGAACTTGTTTTTCTTAGGGGTTCCAGGGGTTCCAGACCACTGAATTCTCAAAGCAGGTGAAAGTTGAGCGTGTGCGAAGCGGGCTCACTGTTACCCTGTTCATACCAAGATTGTGGCCATAGCTCCGAGGAGCTGCTGAAAACAGCACTCAGATGTTGGAGCGCACCTATGCACCTAGAAAGGAACAGGACCTCTCTGTGAAATCGAAATGGCACATAAATATGTATAAATCGCACCACAAGACAACCTTGCAAGGCTGTCAACACCAGACCGAAGTGGTCGCGAGTAATTAAAGAACATTGATGGGAGTTTTTTCACTGGAATGTGCTTTGGCAATCGAGCGTGGCAATGGAAATTACCACCACTTATAGATGCCTTTTTTTTAAAGTTTTGCCATGGTTTGACTCCCAGAGCATATCTCATTACAGTGGATGACTGTATCCGTAAGCGTGTGGTTTGTCTCCATGTTTGCTAGTCGACTGGAAAAATGATCCAATGATTACTTAAGTATCCCCATGATATCCGACAATATTGTAGGATTTTGAAGTTTGTTGATCAATTGTTTTGTGATACTGCTCTTCAAAATGGTGCCCCCTAGACAGCTAAGTTGGTAGTTTTGAACTCCAACAACTATGATTTATGACACTGGTACCTATAAACTATCTGGTTGGTGGTTTCAAACATTTTTATTTTCCATAATATATGGGATGTCGTCCTTCCCATTGACTAATATTTTTTCAGAGGGGTAGGTCAACCACCAACCAGCTATAGTTATAGCTAAATTGATAGTTTTGAACTCCAACAACTATGACACTGGCACCGGTACCTATCATCTATAAACTATAGTTGATGGAGGGTATAAACCAACTTTGGCACCGGGGAAATGCGACTTTGCAGTTGAAACCCCTTTGGCCGCATTCTGCTGGTGCTTGAGGCGGTTCACGACTATGGACCTCAAAAGTATTTTGCGGCGCCTGGGCTCATGATGTGCTGTGGATCTGATCCGACTGGGTTTTTGACGGTGGGTTACCCTCTGGTAAACTGTTACATAACCATGGAAAATCACCATGTTTAATGGGAAAACTCCCTATTTCTATGGCCATGTTCAATAGCAAACTGTTAGTTTACCAGAGGGTAACCATGAAACCATGGTATAAACTTCAATATATGGAAGAATGGTTCCCAACGGCAAATCTGTTGGGTTTCAATCTCTGGTGCCGGGGACTGGTGACACAAAAAAATGCATGCCCCGAAAAACCGGAACAGTCCTGGAACCTTGCTGGAATCTTTCGCTGTTGGGTTGCAAATCTGGGCAAATGGAAATTATTGTTGTATGTATATCAAGAACCACCAACAATATAATTGAAGATTCAGCAACCACTTATGGTGAGGTGCCCCAAACATGATGTTTGTTGATTGAGTTCCACACAATTAAGTATAGATAGGTCTACAATAAACACAAACGTGAGCTTGGAGTTAATTAGAAGCCAACTTAGAGAACCAATTGAGGCAGCACCTTGTGTGATATTGTATGATCTTTGGCTTGGAGGGATTTTGGTTTCCGCTGTGGCGCTTCCTAGAGGGCCTAACAAAGATGATACTGATAGGACCTTTCTTCTCAGAATAGGTTTTACCATTCTTATCCGACATCTATTTTTTGACGGCATATGGAAACCAGAACGATAGAAAGGTAATTCACCACCAGTTTAGTAGGATTTCATGTTTTTTTTGTCCGGGTCCGTATACTATATCTTAGTCTACTTGGTGGTTCATCCCACTTAGTAAATGGGTTATAACCCCAGTTATAAGTGGACTAACCCTACTTATCCCACTTAAAACCAGGGTTATAACCCACTTGCTAAGTGGGATGAGCCACCAAGTACATATTTAATATCTATCTTGGATTGTTTGGCCGTTTTGGGCCTGGTTGGGGAACCTTGAGAAGGCTGCGGTGGGTCGCTGAATGGCAATTCGAACGACAAAATGATGACCAAGCAATTGATTTGGAGATACAAAGGGGGGGCCCTTGATAGCAAATGTTTTTTGAATAACTCCAACAGCTTTTGGTTTATGATACTTATATATGGGTTGCGCGCAAAAAGGGCGGTTAGGGTTTTAGTCTTCAGGAGGTCGAAAATGTTTTTTTTGTTTTTTTAGTCTATCGTACAAGGCGGGCCCCAGCCTGAATGACGTTATTCACCAGTTTAGTACAAGTTTAGTACTACTAGTACTACTAGTACAACTAGTACAAATAGTACTACTAGTACTACTAGTACTACTACTTCTACTAGTACTACTAGTACTACAAATACTACTCGTACTATTCGTACTACTTTTACTACTAGTACTACTCGTACTACTCGTACTACTTTTACTACTAGTACTGCTAGTACTGCTAGTACTACTAGTACTACTACTTTTACTAATACTACTAGAACTACTAGTACTACTAGTACTACTACTACTACTAGTACTACTACTACTACTACGACTACTACTACTACTACTACTACTAGTGCTACTAGTGCTACTAGTGCTACTAGTGCTTCTAGTGCTTCTAGTGCTACTACTACTACTACTACTAACTACTAACTACTAACTACTAACTACCCACTACTCACTACTAACTACTAACTACTAACTACTACTACTAACTACTACTACTACTACCACCACTACTACCACTACTACTACTACTACTACTACTACTACTCCTGCTGCTACTACTACGACTACTACTACTACTACTAGTAGCACTAGTACTAGTATTTCGGGTACAAGTAATGATATTACTTTGACGATCGCTAAAATTGTTCCTAGTTTGACAGCCCGTGCTGATTTTTTTGAAGTTGAAGAAGACTCCGGGAAAGGTCAGAAACAGGTCGGAAACAGGTCAGAAACACCAAAAAGGCAGCACTTGCCTAGCATCCATCCATCCATCCACCTCAGCTCTTATCATTGCTACTTCTACTATTGCTGTTACTACTACTACTACTACTACTACTACTACTACTACTACTCCTACTACTACTACTACTACTAGTACTACTACTAGTGCTACTACTACTACTGCTGCTACTACTACTACTACTCCTGCTACTACTACTACTACTAGTAGTAGCACTAGTACTAGTATTTCGGGTACTAGTAATGATATTACTTCGACGATCACTAAAATTGTTCCTAGTTTGACTGCCCGTGCTGATTTTTTTGAAGTTGAAGAAGGCTCCGGGAAAGGTCAGAAACAGGTCAGAAACAGGTCAGAAACAGGTCAGAAACACCAAAAGGCAGCACTTGCCTAGCATCCATCCATCCATCCACCTCATCTCTTATCATTGCTACTTCTACTTCTACTAGTACTACTACTACTACTACAACTACTACTACTACTACAACAACAACTACTACTACTACTACTACCACTACTCCTCCCACATCTGCTACTGCTGCTACTGCTGCTACTGCTGCTACTACTACAACTACAACAACAATAACAAGAACAACAACAACAACCACTACTACTACTACAACTACTACTACTACTACTGCTGCTGCTACTACTACTGCTACTACTAGTACTAGTACTAGTAGCACTAGTGCTAGTATTTCGAGTACTAGTAATCATTCTACTTTGACTATTACTAACCGTGTTTCTCGTTTGGCTGCCTGTGCATATTTTTTTGAAGTTGAAGAAGACTCCGGGAAAGGTCAGAAACAGGTCAGAAACACCAAAAAGGCAGCACTTGCCTAGCATCCATCCATCCATCCACCTCATCTCTCATCATTGCTACTTCTACTTCTACTATTACTATTACTACTAACCTGAATGTCCTTCTGACCTGAAAACATCTGCGCGGATTCCGCGCGCGCGGAATCCGCGCGGCCATGTCAATTATTGGCATGGTTCTGGTCTCAATCGTAAACGCATATAATATATTTATCTATATTGTAAATCTGATCAAGTCCGTATCTTATCTTCAAGAGGATGCTTGCAAAAAAACGAATGTAAATGGTTGGATGCTAGGCAAGTGCTGCCTTTTTGGTGTTTCTGACCTGTTTCTGACCTTTCCCGGAGTCTTCTTCAACTTCAAAAAAATCAGCACGGGCAGCCAAACGAGAAACACTGTTAGTAATAGTCAAAGTAATATCATTACTGGTACCCGAAATACTAGTACTAGTGCTACTAGTAGTAGTAGTAGTAGTAGTAGCAGTAGTAGTAGTAGTAGTAGCAGCAGGAGTAGTAGTAGTAGTAGCAGCAGCAGCAGCAGTAGTAGTAGTAATAGTAGTAGTAGTAGTAAGTGGAAGTAGTAGTAGTAGTAGTAGTAGTAGTTGTAGTTGTAGTAGTAGTTGTAGTAGTAGTAGTAGTTAGTAGTAGTAGTTAGTAGTGAGTAGTTAGTAGTTAGTAGTTCGTAGTAGTAGTAGTAGTAGTAGCAGTAGTAGTAGTAGTAGAAGTAGTAGAAGTAGTAGAAGTAGTAGAAGTAGTAGAAATAGTAGAAATAGTAGAAGTAGTAGAAGTAGTAGAAGTAGTAGAAGTAGTAGAAGTAGCAATAGTAGCAATAGTAATAGTAGAAGTAGAAGTAGCAATGATAAGAGATGGATGCTAGGCAAGTGCTGCCTTTTTGGTGTTTCTGACCTGTATCTGACCCGTTTCTGACCTTTCCTGGATTCTTCTTCAACTTCAAAAAAATAAGCACGGGCAGCCAAACGAGAAACACTGTTAGTAATAGTCAAAGTAAAATGATTACTAGTACTCGAAATACTAGTCAAAGGAAGTTTAGGGGGAGAAACTTCCGTGTTACGGACTTTTAGAATGTCAGGGAAAGAGTTAGTCAAAGAAAGAGTTAGTGAGGGAAAGAGTTAGTTAGGGAAAGAGTTAATTGTAACTTTTAGACTGTCAGGGAAAGAGTCAGGGAAAGAGTTAGTCAAAGGAAGAGTTCGTTAGGGACAGAGTTAATTGTAGCTTTTAGACTGTCAGGGAAAGAGTTAGTCAAAGAAAGAGTTAATTGTAACTTAAACTGTCAGGGAAAGAGTTAGTCAAAGGAAGAGTTAGTTAGGGACAGAGTTAATTGTAACTTTTAGAATGTCAGGGAAAGAGTTAGTCAAAGAAAGAGTTCGTGAGGGAAAGAGCTAGTTAGGGAAAGAGTTAATTGTAACTTTTAGACTGTCAGGGAAAGAGTTAGTCAAAGGAAGAGTTCGTTAGGGACAGAGTTAATTGTAACTTTTAGAATGTCAGGGAAAGAGTTGGTCAAAGAAAGAGTTAGTGAGGGAAAGAGTTAGTTAGGGAAAGAGGTAGTCAAAGAAAGAGTTAGTGAGGGACAGAGTTAATTGTAAATGACATCTTCAAGTTGGATTTTTGAAGGAAGTCTCGCACGAAATGCGTTTTTGAGAGATAGTAGATGCACGAAACCCTATGTTTTTCCATACAAAGTCCGTCCCCGAACCTCGATGATCTACCCCTGCGGTGCGACGGTTGCGAGACGGTCTTGTGTGTGGTCGGATCATGCTCGGATCATGGGCGGATCATTCTCGGATCGGTTCCGCATTGTAAATGTGGTTTCAACTGTGTTTCGTGCATGTGCAGTCGACAGAATTCCATTGTGATTTGCAACTGTAGGATCGTTCCTGCAATGTAAATGGGATTGCAAGTGGTGCTGGTGGATGTTGCCGATGGAATTCCATTGTGATTTGCAACTGTAGGATCGTTCCCGAAATGCAAATGGCATTGCAAGTGGTGCTGGTGGAGGAGTTGCCGATGGAGTTTTGAAGGAAGTCTCGCACGAAATGCGTTTTTGAGAGGTAGCAGATGCACGAAACCCTATGTTTTTCCATACAAAGTCCGTCCCCGAACCTCGATGATCTACCTCTGCGGTGCGACGGTTGCGAGACGGTCTCGTGTGTGGTCGGATCATGGGCGGGGCGGATCATGGGCGGATCATGGTCGGATCATGCTCGGATCGGTTCCGCATTGTAAATGGGGTTTCAACTGTTTTTCGTGCATGTGCGGTCGACAGAATTCCATTGTGATTTGCAACTGTAGGATCGTTCCCGCAATGTAAATGGGATTGCAAGTGTTGCTGGTGGATGAGTTGCCGATGGAATTCCATTGTGCTTTGCAACTGTAGGATCGTTCCCGCAGTGTAAATGGCTGTGTCAAGGTTGCTTCGTGCGGTGGCTGCATTGGTAATACTATTGTCTTTTGCAGCTGGACTTCGTAAATTGTATTGGAGTGGCTGCATGAAGGCTGCGACAGTGATTTGTCAGCAGATTTTCTCCATTTTGGCGCTAGTGATTTTCCTTCTAAAATCCTTTTAAAAAGTGCTTCAAAATCGTCTTTTTTTCGCTCTGGCGTCGAGATCCGGTTTTGGAGCTACAATTTCCGACGCCGTTGCGCGTAGTTCTATTGTGTTTTGCAACTCAGTCTCTGCAGATCGCATTGTAATGGCTGCGTCAAGGTTGCTTCGTGATGTGGCTGCATTTGCAATACTATTGTCTTTTGCAGCTGGATCTCGTAAATCGTATTGGAGTGGCTGCATGAAGGCTGCGACAGTGATTTGTCAGCAGATTTTCTCCATTTTGGCGCTAGTGATTTTCCTTCTAAAAATCCTTTTAAAAGGTGCTTCAAAATCGTCTTTTTTTCGCTCTGGCGTCGAGATCCGGTTTTGGAGCTACAATTTCCGACGCCGTTGCGCGTAGTTCTTTTGTGTTTTGCAACTCAGTCTCTGCAGATCGCATTGTAATGGCTGCGTCAAGGTTGCTTCGTGCTGTGGCTGCATTCGTAATACTATTGTCTTTTGCAGCTCGACTTCGTAAATCGTAATGGAGTGGCTGCATGAAGGCTGCCACAATGATTTGTCAGCAGATTTTTCTCCATTTTGTCGCATTAGTGTTTTTTTGTTCCACGTAGGTTTAGAGCAGTGTGAAGTGTGGGGCGTAAAGAGTGCAGTGTGAAGTGTGAAGTGTGAAGGAAGCAGTGGGAAGTGAGAAGTGTGAAGTGTGGAGTGTGAAGTGTGCAGTGTGGAGTGTGAAGTTTAAGTTTGGAGTGCGAAGAGCGCAGTGTGAAGCGTGAAGTGTGAAGTGTGAGGTTTGGAGTGTGAAGGAAGCAGTGAGAAGTGAGAAGTGTGGAGTGTGAAGTGTGAAGTGTGGAGTGTGAAGTTTGAAGTTTGGAGTGCGAAGAGCACGGTCGGGACAGGTTGTCTTTGAACTATAGGTCATTTATGTTTGGGAAACTTCCGCTGCCGGCTTGCCCGGGCCTATGTTACTAGTAGTGAGTAGTGAGTAGTTAGTAGTTAGTAGGTAGTAGGTAGTAGGTAGTAGTAGTAGTAGTAGTAGTAGTAGTAGTAGTAGTAGTAGAAGTAGTAGAAGTAGTAGAAGTAGTAATAGTAATAGTAGAAGTAGAAGTAGCAATGATAAGAGATGAGGTGGATGGATGGATGGATGCTAGGCAAGCCTTTTTGGTGTTTCTGACCTGTTTCTGACCCGTTTCTGACCTTTCCCGGAGTCTTCTTCAACTTCAAAAAAATAAGCACTGGCAGTCAAACTAGGAGCAATTTTAGGGAAAAGGCTGAGGCTATTAAGCCACCTTGATTTTTTTTTTTAAAGAGGACATGTGAGAAATGAATTCGCCAAAAGGCGGGCCCCAGGCAGAACGCGAATTTCGACCGCTTTCGGGAACCAACATTTTGCAAACACCCCATATACCTTTTGGTTTTTGATACCTATATATATATATACTTATAACGTACAGTATCCATATTTTCTTTTTAAGAAACTTGCAACTGGCCCCCATGTTGTAGCCTTTTTTCAGTGAAATCGATGTGAGGCAGTTCCAACATGTTCCAACCTCGGCTGTTTTGAGGTCAATGAAGTACCATCTGGTTATGACTAACATAGCAAACTGGAAAATCACCATTTTTAATAGCTAAACCATCTATTTCTATGGGCCATCTATACCATGGCGAACTGTAACAAATAACCAATGAAGTAATTCCAAGGTTTTCTGCCCCCGGAAACGGAATCGCGATTGGATGGTGAACAGAACTCCACTAGGATTTATGGTATATCTATATCGAGGTTTCATGAAATAGGGCTACATCGGTACATCCAAATCATCCATCATTTCATGTGGATTTTTATTATAAACCATCCATTTTGGGGTATCCCCATTTAAAAATACAAAAACCATTTAAAAATACAAAAACATATATAGTTACTATGGTTTATAAGCCAACTGATAACCGGGATGGCCCCACCTTGCAGGCTGATGAGTTTCAATTCCATTTGCCTAGTGAGTCTTAGTCATACAAAACTGGCTGGTTGGTGCTTTCAAACATGAATTTTATATGTTCCATTTCATATATGGGATGTCATCCGAAACCCATTGACGAACTCCATCATTTTTCAGAGGGATTGAAACCACCAACCAGTAATTAATGGAATCTCCCCACTCATAGATGGGATGATAGATGATTATGGGGGTATATAAAAATAGCTGGAAATGGGACCTCAAAAAACAGGTCCGTAACACAACTCACCCAGGCGGGTTATTTATAAACGAACAAACATAACTGCAGGGAACACCTTGCATGCTTCAAACACCTCAAAAAGCCTAGCCCTTTCCAGAGTCTCAAGCTACATGGCCTGTCTTCATGGCGGCATAAGGTCAAGCCCGGATTTTGCTAAACCCTGTTTGATTAATTGTGGTGGTTCCCCCAATTTTTGTGATTTTTATGGTTACCGAAATGGTACGGTACCCCCAGTAAACCTGAGTAACCACGAGTTTTCACCAGGATTTTTTTGGCACGACCCTCCATTTGGAGTAGAGTTGTTTACGAGTTGGATTCCAGTCTAATGCGAGTAAAGGAGTACAGCAAGGTCATAAACCAACCAAAGTTTCTGGATCGTTCATGGTTTATGCAGCTGATTTATAGTCAATTGGGGGATGCTTTAAGCATGCGGCACCTACAGGTGCAAGTTTCAACATCGACAGCTCCAGGGCTTGACCTTCACTCAGGGACGCTGCTTGGATAGATGCATGCACCAATGGCCTGTCTACTCTGCTGATGCACATCAGCGCATGCTACTCACCATTCATTGCCAGTGCGGAATCAGATATACCAGAGCGGCTGATTTGGCCAATCACTTGCAGGGAGCACATGCACGCCTGTGGCGTCAAGCTCAGCAGCTCACGCGAAGGTGCTTGTGCACGATGTGCACAGCAGACAGCTCAGAAATGGTCCGAAAGCAACCGCCATTTGCAATCTGGGGCCCCAAATCGATGGCTAAGTTGGTTCCTTACTGGGTTAACTAGGATTTGCTGTAGCTGCACCTATAGATAAAACATTCTGAGGGCACGCGCCTTGCACAAATAAAAACCCATCCTCCTCACCTCCAGCAGGCCCACTTTCCACTTAAAACCCGCCCAAACATATGAGAGTGGAGTTATCTACAGATAGGTGATACGTGTCTCTTTTTTCATAGGTGAATCCATACAAGGGAGTGTTTAGCGAACCGTTTCATCTAGCCTTTTGGCCATTTACCAACCAATTGATCCCTTCCCCCTCAGAAAGGAAACTTTCCAAATGAAGCGCATTTTATTGGCAGCCAATTGTTTGTGTTACTTGCTATGATCCAGGGATTGGGCCTATATCCATTGGTACCATTTCTTCATGAAATCTACCTGTTGCTATGGGGATGGACTACATCGACGTGGCTTTGTCTGAAGATTCGATGCCCTATTCCATCCATTGGTTAATCATCATTCTATCATGTTCCCTGCCATGAAACAAAAGGTGCTTGGGGGTGCATCTTAAATGGGCTCCCCCAGTTGTATAGTTATATGGAACAACCCCACTGATATGTGGGATTATCATGGATTATGTGGGTTTTGAACCACGGATCCAAAGTGGGACGCACATCCAATACTAGGTCAATCTTAGATGGATACTTTAGTCCTTTAGTCTTTTGGTATGAATGGGAATATCTACGTTCACCAGCAAAGAATTTGTCATTTTTTGCAGGGTATCTAAGGCAGATTGGCCATGAAAGGCAGCCTTTGATTATGGCTAAGGTTTATATCAATGGATTGGTTTAGGTGAAAATTTACAGGAAAACCCCATATTTAATGGTAAAAACCATGGTTTCCTGTAAATTTTCCCTTAAACCAATCCATTGATTATATGGCTATTTTGAATCACGGATCAGTGGGACGCACATCCAATAGCGCATCCCCAAGCTTCACATCCCGAGGTGCCACCCTTCGGTTGCTGCTTTAAGCCCTGCTGCTGGGAGCACCAGATCACCGCCAAGCAGTTGCTCTGGGTCTCCCGATGCTCAGCACCGAAGGGGAGGTGCATCCCAGGGTAGTTTCTAAGGCTTTTTTAATGTCACAGGCCTAGTGAGCGGTGCCCCCAAACGTGATGTGAATGTTGGTTTATAAACCCCATTAACTAGTTCGTTTTATTATATCTAACATACACCATAGTTATTGGACTTATTAACCAACTTAGCTATCGTTTGGGGGCCCCACTTTGTAGTGAGCCTAGTGCCTGTAACAGTGAGCAGAAATTACACCACAAAAATTTACACGAGGAGTTACACTGAGGATCCGTGGTTGATAATTCATATTCAAACATTTAAAACCCACCCATGTTATCCCACATGTATATATTTATATATATATATATAATACATTCCATTAATCTAAGGGAGCTTAAAAAATCTTTACGATGCATAAATGCATAACTGGTGAAACCATGGATTGGCGGTGGATGGGCGTTTTGGGGGTGTGATGGGAAATACATGGGTATACCCGTGGGTAGAAAGATGTCTACCTGGAATGACCCTGCAGCTTGCTTGCTGGTGCATTGGCAGCGCGTGCATTGTTTGCTCCTAACTCGGTGGCTGGACTCGTCTGCTTGACTTTCTCACCGCTGCTTGCGTACAAGCTGGTACAAGGTGGTGCCCCAATAGTGATGTTTGTTGGTTTATAATCCCCATTAACTATAGATATAACCCCTAATCAACCCTAGTTATTGGACTTATTTGCACCAACTTAGCGATTCCGAACTGGGGCACCACCTTGAGGTGCCAGACCATCAGCACGTTGGGTCGTGTTCTTTGCTCCATCTGACAGCAGCAGTAGGCAGTACGTTACACCGTGCTTGACGCCATACAGATATTGTTTTGGGATTTGTCAACGTTTGCCTTCGTACGTCAGAGAGGTGCGGGCACATCCCTTCTTCACCAACTGCACGTCTCGCATTAAAAAAAATGGTATAGACAGATGGATGGATGGATGGATGGATGGATGGACGGATGGATGGATGGATAGATAGACAGATAGATAGATAGATAGATAGGTAGATAGGTAGATAGGTAGATAGGTAGATAGGTAGATAGGTAGATAGGTAGATAGGTAGATAGGTAGGTAGATAGATAGATAGGTAGATAGATAGGTAGATAGATATATATATATACATATGTCTATATATGCACATACATTAACATATAGATATATATATATATATACATTTAACTATATACATACATACATATATATATATGTGATGTAAGGGATGTAGGAAACAAAAAATTGGGAGGGGAAAGCACATGATAACACCTTGCAAGATCATGTCCCAGTTGCTGGATTTCTTGGGCGCATTTCTAAGGATTGGTGAAGCAGACCCTCGGCCCAAGTTCCATGGGTCGTGTCAGGTGTGTTCCCAACAAATGGTGGTAGATGAGAGGTGATTGGGAAGACATGCGCAAAACGTGCATAAAAAGGACTCAGCTACCGCAGTGATGCACATCCAAGTACGGTCTGATCCAGGAAGAGACATCGGTGCGGTTCACCAAGCTGTTTGTTAAAAGTATCAATGACGACCTCCCTAGCTGAAGTTCATGCGTGTCTTGAGTTCACCATCTAAGATAGTTAACAACAACAACAACAACATCATCATCAACAACAACAACAACATTATTAATGTGGGTAAAACATGATAAAATAATGTCATAAACCACCCATGACTGGGAATGGTAAGTTTATACCACCGATAAAAATGGTGATTTTTTCTGGGGGATGGTTAACATGGCGTTGTTTTACCCACATTATTTAATATTTATCATACTATATACAGTACATATCTATAATATGGTTTATAATTGATTGTCCTATTTTAGTATTGTGTTACCCACATTCTTAGATTTCTTTTGGCGTAATGTCGGTGTTAAGTTTTGATTCGGAAACCCCTGCCCAGAAGCCAAACACAACTTGATTCATGGGGTTGATAGGCGAACTTTGGCGAACTTTGGATGGGTTGTTGAGTAGGTTTACTGGTTGGTGGTTTGGATTTTTTTTCTATAATATATGGGATAATCCTTCCCATTGACTAATATGTTTCAAGATGGTTAAAAACCACCAACCAGTTTATTGTCCTAGGGAAACCATGGGTTTTCCAAATGTATTTTGCTTTACACTCATGATTTTTTGAACAGATTTTATATGATTTGATTTTTGTTTCTTGTACTTCAAAAAACCGTGCAGTTCCAGTGATCTAAGTGGTTATTTTTCACCAAAGTTGTAGGGGTAAAAAAAGATCCCAATTTTTGGAGGTTTAAATCCCATGGTAAAAAAACATGTTATACCCATGGTTTAAAGCCCAACACCCCCAGGAACTGTTCTAAACCATAAACAAACTAGTTATATCATAGTTATACCAAAATTTTACCATTGTCATACCATAATATACCATACTTTTACGGTAGTTATACCATGGTTATACCATGGTTATATATGGTTATACCGTTATACCATAGATAAAACCATTCAGAAACTACCCAAAAATCGTTGGACTCAAGGTATGTCATTCTGGAGCTCTTCCTGAACACATTTTTCATGTGGGCGGGGCCCCTTGGTCGAAGGCGCACCTTCGGCGCAGATCGCCGACGGAATTCGGTTCATGGGTAGAACCATGAGGATTTTACTCATGGTGGTTTTACTATCCATGAAAAATATCGATTTATATAACCACTGAACAATGGATTCTGCTGCCCCAGTTTGTTGGTTACATTGGTTTGTGACTGAACATACCAATATATTGTTATATGGTAGACAGTTACAAACCAACTTACAAGTGGGGGGGCACCACATTGAGGGTATCGCATAGTTATCGATGGGATACCTGCAGTGGACTGATTTTTGCAGATAAACATAGACATCAAGCCAATCAATAGCACAGAACCAAAATATCACAGTTTTCTGCTGTGATCAAAATTCCGCGCTTGGTTTTTAGTTCGGGGATGATCAGGAAAATGTCGGAAGATCACGATCCATTTTTTTGGAAATCCTATGAACACCAGGCAGTTTCTAAAGGGACGAAACGAGATTTTCAACGCTCAAGAGTTGTCAGTTTGCTAGGACGACATGGGGAGCTAGAGAGCCCACTTACCTGGAAAGTTGGGTAGAGAAGTATCTCCATATGAGAAACCATCATTTCCCTGTTTCAAACCTTCTGTTCAATGGCCATTCCAGGAACCCAAATTGGAGGTATCTACCATATATAAGGCCTATTTTTTAGGCCTAAATTTCAGGGAATATACCCCCAATTCATATGGCCCAAACATATGGTACGTTTACGTACCTCCATTTTAGGATCCTGGAGATCTCCCATTGACCTGTTGATTCAACCCCTATCGTCATGGGAAATGCAACCCGTTCCTTCCGCCTTAGATCACCCTTTAAGCACGGCTTAACTCACCATTCTTGCTGCTTACTTAACCCACATCTTTGCCTCCCTAAGTTTCGCTGGTTGACTTCCCACCCTAAAATCCCAGCAAGAATCCCATTGATCCTCCATAAAATCCCAGTTTTGCTGCTTGAAACCCACATCTTCAGCAAGTTCCCATGTTCCCAGACCAAGTTCTGGTTGATTCGGCCGACAAATCCTGAGGTTAACCTTCCAACCGGAACGTGCTGCCAGGATTCAGAATGTCGCTGCGTGACCCGTGCTGCGGGTCATCACGGGTCATCACGGGTCATCACTTGAGGTCACCCTTAACGAAAAGGTGGAGAAAACGACCAGAATTGAGATGGACAAAATCATTGAAAAAATTGATATCATAGGATACCAAGTGTAAAATCATGAGAAATGCTCGAATGATATCGTGTTTTGACTGCATGTGGTAAGCACGGATGCCGCCTTGCCAAAAATGGTACGAGTGATTTTATCCGAACGTGGCGGTAATACCGTAATGTTAGGTTTTGGGAAGCATGACGATTTGCCTCTATTAATAGGGTAGTTGCGCATGGAGGTCAAAAAGTGAGGTCGGTCTCCACATTGGATACAGCAGACATCCCAGTTTCGACTGGATGGGTCGAAACTATAATCCTTTGGATTCCTCGTTGTTTGCTATAAATGGACACTAACCACAACTGGGAAAAGATTCTGGATATAATTCCCAGTTGTGGTTATTCTGGATAATGATCCCAGTGGTTATTCTGGGACCACAAATGGTTTGCTATAAAAATAACCAGAAAAGGTTGGTGGTTTTTGGGGGACCAAAGATTGACTCACTGGATGGACTTCTGCCAAACACAGCACCGGAAAAAACGGGAAAAACCAAAATGGTAACGACCTATCGGTACAAGGTGGTGCCCCAGTTCGTTAGCTAAGTTGGTGCAAACAAGTCCAATTTCACTAGGGTTGATGAGGGGGGTTTATCTATAGTATTCATGGGGATTGTAAACCAACTTATAACTATGGGGGCACCACCTTGTAACTGGATGGGTTTCTGCTAAGTTGGTATATGTTGGTATCATGCCAGTAACTTGGGTCTATGGTAGATATATCTGGGTAAATTTGATCACGACCTCACGTCGTGACCGAACCCTAGAATCATGGTTAGTAAGGGGAATCATCCCCAAATTGCACAACATTTTAAGTTAGTGAAATATGATTATTTACCCAGAATTGATTTTTCTTGGTGATGTTGTGGTAAAATCCAATTTTTCCGACATCACAAAAAGATGTCATTTTCCGGATTAAAGCCAGCTCTTGAGAGATGCCATTGAAAAATAGCAGATGGTCACTAGAAAGTACCAGCGTTCAGTCTCATCTGGTTGGCGGTTTCAAACATGAATTTTATTTTCCATTTCATATATGGGATGTCATCTGAAACCCATTGACTTTCACTCCATCATTTTTCAAGATGGTGAAATTGCACCACCAACCAGACTATATCTCACTACTCCCATTACCCTGGAAATCATAACTATTCCCATTATTCCTATTACCAACCAGACTAATTCATCATAACTATGGAAAATCACCATGTTTTTTTCATGGGTAAATCCACTATAAATCGACTGGGCCAAGTCGCGCGTTGTCAGGTACATTTTGAAGATCTCCGGCATGATGGCTGTTTACGGCCTATTCATCATGTACAAGGCTCCTGAAGACGCCACGGGAAAAATCAACTGGATGGGAAAACCATGGGTTTTCCCATGAAGATTATCACTAGTTATTTCATGGGAAATATCATGGAATATGGTGATGAAACATGGCATTTCAAACAGTTTCTAGGTCAATCAACTGGATGGTTAATAGATGGTTAATGGATGGTTAATGAGATGGTTAATGAGATGATTACTGGATGATTAATGAATAATTCATGGATGGTTTACTAGGTCAATCAACTGGATGGGTAGAAACTCATCCGAAGTAGTCTTTTGGTATCAATGGGATTATCTACTAACCAGCTAAGAATCTTTTTTTTTGCAGGGTATCTAAGATTGGCCATGCAAGTGAGTCTAATGGGTCTAAAATCATCACTCGGATATAATGGTGATATTCGGGATATACTTGGAAGTGCTGTTCCAGTTAAGCTATAGTTATACGCTCCGGAATCTCAACTTATGGGCTTGACAACCAGTTCTTCCACCCCGAAGTAGATAGATAGCCCTGAAAGGCACCCCCAGCAGCTGGGAAAACTCAACCGCACTTCATGGTGCCCCACAATCTAGGGACCCAGATAGTACTCCAAAATAGTTGCTTAATGAATGTTTGTTCCCCGAACATATGCTAATATATAATAGCTTTGGACCCATATATATATAATTATATACATATAAATATGCATATATATATATGCATACATATATATATAACATATATATATAATATAATATATATATAATATATAATATATATATATATACAATATATATAATATTTACATATAAACATATAATATGTTCCTCTGATAAAGTACCATTTAGTTCGATGTTTTTGTTGCCATTAAAAGCCCGTTGATCTCGGATTGTTCAGCATTTTCTTCAGCAGGCCACCCACGACTTGCTCCACGATTGGAATACCACCAGGTGGGGAAAAGCGGCTGGAATCAGAGGTGGCCGGGAATCCCTGGGTTCCCCGGTATTTCATGGGTAAACAGCCACATTTTGCGAACTGGAAAATCACATTTTTTCATGGAAAACTATGGAAAAATCATCATTTTGCTATGGAAATCCCCAGAAACTATGGAACATTACCATTTTATAGCTGGGTAAATGGTAAATCATCTATTTCTATGGCCATTTTCAATAGTTATGTTGGTTTACCAGAGGGTATTTCATGACTTTTTCCCAAATGAGCAGTGGCTGCTAAACCCCTGTTGATGATTACTATAGTTCGGGGATTATAATACCTTTCATATCTTGGGGATTAAAATAATCCAAGAACGGGACATGTCCTTCTTAACCAACCAGGATTCAATGGAATGATAGAGGGATTTATTTCACACTTCTTTCCATTTTCCCCGATGGAAAATGGCGTTCTAAATTCTAAGCAAGATTTGGGCCTTTGGGATTTATAGATCTTTTATAGATGATTTTCATGATAGCCATGTTCCATGAAACTGGAGGCTACATCCTAGTTCTGACATGAAATAGCGGTGGCTGCGTTCAACCCCTGTGGCTTGATGATGATATGGGCAGATAACTAATTTCCATTATCCAATTTATTGTCAATGGCCCATTCAGGCACCTAAAATTGAGGTACTGTACTACCAAAAACAACGCATATAAATTGCATATAAATTGCAGGGTATATCATATACACCCTTAGCCTTTCCGTAGGCCAGGCATATATGGTAGGTACCTCCAATAAATCGGTTCCTGAAATGGCCATGGATATTGGGGATTGTCATCATCGAATCATCTATATATGGGAAATCTGTTTTGAACCAACCAGTATCAAGGGACCACGTTGCAGGTTTTGAACACCGTTCATATGGGTTTTATCGGATTGTTTCTATGGATTACCACTTCGAATGCCCGGGTCCCGCAGATGCAAGAAAAATAGACTGGAATAGGAAGCAACGGGCGAAGATGTGATTGGCTATAAGAAATGGCAAACATATCAAGAGTGGATCATATCATCATTTCTGACTGTTTCATAACGCCGTGAAAAAAAAAGATTGCATAACCAAAAAAACAGTTTTTTTTTCAGACAGGAGTAATTACCCCCTGGTTATTCAACAAAGCCATGGTATAGATGGCCCATTTATAGATGGTTTACCTATTAAAAATGGTGATTTTCCATGGCAAACTGTTAAATAACCAGATGGCATTTGGGTTTGTCCGGAAGTTTTAGGGGATTTATCTCCCAACCCAACTGTCCATTTCTCCGTGGGTCAACACTCGGCTGCCAGGAAGTTTGTGTCTGTGAAGTGGCTTTTCTGCACACCTGGGTGTGTCACAGGCGTTTTCCCCGGAAAGGGCTTCAAGATGGGGTTCCATTTTGGAACATGTTGCAGGGTTGGTTGAATTAACTCATATGGGTATGGATCAATACCTATTAATACCATTTTTAGGGGAATGAACATCCATTTACCAGCTTTTTTGATGTTCACCAGGGGTACAAGGTTTTGACACACTGCCATATGTCACCAAGGTTTATAGTAGATACAACATGGTTTTGATAATATGTTATAATCAAATTCACGTCTCACGGCGCAGCACATTGTAGATTCTAAATGAGCAGAAACCAAACACTGAATCTGCTCTCCTGGACCAGGGCCCGATTTGTGGCCCTAAGGATGAAACATTCATCGTATTTTGTGTCTGTATCTAGCACATTGAAAGCCCCGAACGTATGCTGGGTGTTGGAAGAAAGCGTGTTAAATATGTTCACCATTCACCCCTGTTAGGGTTTATATACGTATTAAAACGATGTTCAAAATAGGTGGCTACAATGCGGGGCCCGCCAGTGATGTTTGCTTGTTCAGTTTAAGCCTATGAAGACTACAGTTATATGATGTTATAAGATGTTATAAGTTGTAGGTATCATGAAATTGGAGTTATGTTCATGAATCGCTATCATGGACCAGCTATATCCCTATATCATGGCTTGGTCGGCAGCCTCCAAGTGTCACCGCTGTTTGCTCACTGGCGACCCCAGAAGCCACCTTGATTCAAAAAGTCACCGCGACATATTTGTAGATTTTGTAGGACCCTAGCCATAAATCCCATGAAATCCCCATATCTTTGTTGGTTAGATCACCATGTTCGGTGTCGGCCCCACATGGCGTTTTCTTTTTCAACCACCTCCCAGGATCGTGATTTTGCTGTCGGTGATCCAGAACAAGCTCTTCTCCTGGTTTATCCACACGTTTCTGGGCAGAGAGGAAAAAGACATAAAAAGACAATGTAAAAATGATAAAAATGGGTAAAGCCTGGTGAAGGGTACCATGTTTCGAAACACTTACTTGTACCCTCTGATAATCTAAGAATATCTAAGATTAGCCATTGAACATGGAAAATAGCCTAGAAATTCATCATGTTCCGTGCTTATGTTAAATTGCCAGAGGAAAATCTCTTGTTTAAATCGCAAAACAGGACAACAAGCTGATCAGCCAAAACGTGCCGGCTTAAAGCAACACAGATTGGTGGCTTTGCCAACAGGAATTGCAGATTTTTGTGCCACCAAAATTGAAGCTTTGAGCATGTTTGAAGCAGCCAACAGCCAGAGGTCTAGTCCAACAAAATCAAATGTTTATTTTCCATTTCATACATATGGGATAATCCTTCCCATTGACTAATGTTGTTCAAGATGGTGAAATTGCACCACCAACCAGGAAACGCTATGGAAAATGTCGCTGGGATCATCACAATCTGTCGAAATCCGCTGTCGCCCCTCGTTCAATCCAGGTTCCGGCCACGTGAAAACAGTTGCTTGTTGACACCTGGACATCCAGAGGTGCCCGGCTGGGAAGGGCCTTGGGACGGCTGGATTCGGCTGGATTCTTGGGGATGATAAAATGATGGTGACAGGATGGGGCCCCCGTAAACGATAGCTTTCAGTTGGTGCAAATAAGTGGCTGAATTCTATGGTTTATGGTAGATATAATTATAGTATTCATGGGGATTATTTCATGGTTTATAAACCAACTTATAACTGGGTGGCCCCATCCTGTAGTGAATCTTCCGTGGGGAAATGATGTTCGGGGATGGATCTATAGAATCAATGGATACTGGGGGTTTCACCGACTAAAAAGTTCATGGCAAGTTAAAAATCACCGTTCACCTGATGAAAACTTCAAACTGGGTGGTGGTTTCAAACATGAATGCATTATTTTCCATTTCATATATGGGATGTCATCCTTCCCATTGACTTTCACTCCATCATTTTTCAAGATGGTGAAATTGCACCACCAACCAGTCATTATTAACCATCATTAACCATCATTAAATCACCATTAAATCACCTGACCAGATGAAAACTTCAAAGATTGGCCCGTTATGTTTTGGTTGAATCAAACATGGCTTAATTCCGCTGAGATTTGCTGGTCAGTGTCACGTGTCCGTTTTTGCTTTAGCAAAAATGTGGTTGTCTGAAGATAGCGCCCAAAATCCCAAAACGCAGGGAATTTTTCGGGAATGATCCACTGGCTAACTATCAAATCTATCATCCCAGCAACCCCCAGCAACCCATCCAGCAACCCTACGTAAAACGCACCAGTAAGCTTATTGTGGTAAACCCAACGCCACCCTTCCACCTTTTTTGGGTGGTGAAAAAAGTTCGCTGGGTTCGCTGAATGCATGGAACCAACGAAGTCGCTAAGTTGATGCACATCACTTATGGTTTGTGGATGTTAAAGGGGGATATAACATGATATAGTTAATCAAACATGATGTAAAAGATATAGTTATCATGATATAGTTAACATGATATAGTTTTAACGTCATAGTTATCATGATATAGTTAACTAGTCCTCAGTTATAGTTAATGAGGTTGTACACCAACTTATAACTCGACGGCCTCACCTTGTAAGAAGTCTTTCACATGAATAGTTAGTTCCAATGAATGGAAAGAAAGCAGTGTACCCTCTGGTAATTTAACATAGCGAACTGGAAAATCACCATGATTAATGGGAAAATCCACTATTTCTATTGTCATTTTCAATAGCTATGTTAAATTACCAGAGAGTAATATTGGTTTGATACAAGTTTCACCACTTGGGACCAGCAGTGTGCAACCCCAAGCTGGGTCAAAGTCTCGTTCTTGGGTCGTGGGCGATCCCCAAGTGACTGGTGAACGTTTACATAACGAACTGGAATATCACCATGTTTAGTGGGTAAATCAACGAACTAAATGGCCCATGTTCCATAGCAAACTGTAACAACTGACAAGGGCTAAATCCCATTAACATCCCATTAAACATCCATTAAATCACTATTAAAATCACCATTACTATCCATTGAATCACCATTAAAATCAGTTAAATTACCACAAATCACCATGAACTCTATGGCTTTGGATACGAACATTTCCATTTAATCACCATTAAAATCCCCATTTCTTACTGCCAGATGGATTTCCATGATCCCATTGTGTAGGAGCTGGAGCGAATTGTGGTCTTTTGGACGACGTCACTGGAGCGATTTGAAAAGATCCGTCGATCTGGGGAAATGGGACATGTCATGCCCAAAACGGATTGAAATGGCAAGTTCAATATGGAACATCTGGACTTTTTACATGGCAAAAAAAACTTAATCTGGATTTTTACGTTGCAAAAAAAAAACTGCAACTATGGAAGATCTGGATTTTTACATTGCAAAAAAAGAACTGCAACATGGCCATACAAAAATTGGGAACACGACGAGAAACTACTTGAGGTTGGATTCATTTCGGAGCTGAAGATGATGAGAATCACCTGAGAGTTTTGGGACAATTCCCCTATTTTCAGACAAACCCCTTTGGCCGCAGTGCAGAGACCCTTCAAAATTTTACTGTAGCTGCCACCGTGGGCGGGACATGATTTGACTGTAGCCAGATTTCAAAAGAATTTGGGGTTACCCTCTGGTAAACTAGCATAGCTATGGGAAATCACTATTTTTAACAAGTAAATCAACTATAAATGGCAATGTTCAACAGCTATGTTAAATTACCAAATGCGATTTGTGGGAATCAGCTGGGAGAACACTGCAACCAACGAAAAAACTGCTTCGAAAAACTGTGCAATTTCCTGGATCGGGTTTTTTGGGGGACTTGTACAAAGTGGGCTCCCCCCCTTAGAAGTTGGGAAATAATGGTTTATAAACCAATAGTAAGTATATAGATGTTCCTAATATGTATAGTTGGTTTATTGTAACTTTCATAGTTTATAGACCAATGGAAAATCATTTCTATACCATAAAGCCAAAGGTGACAGTTGAGTTATGCTCACCATATTTGGCAAAGGAACTGGAGCACCACCTTATTATAAGTATGGCACTATGGCTAATTAAGGATTCAATGTGGGCCCCCCCCTTACGAAATCGCTAAGTTGGTGAACATAACTCCAACTTCACTATGGTTGATAGTTACAGGAGCTTACAACTATAGTTATTCATAGGGTTTAAGTCCCATTACATCCCATTAACATCCATTAAATCACCATTAAAATCACCATGACTATCCATTAAATCACCATAAATCACAATAAATCACCATAAATCACCATTACTATCCATTAAATCACCATAAATCACCATTACATCACCATTAAATCACCATGAACTCTATGGCTTTGGATACGAACATTTCCCATGAAAATTTCTCGCCGAGATCGCCGAGGTTTGCTTCGTTGATGGAGACCGTCCTCTTGTCGCATCTCATCATCCGAGCCTTTCCGGCGCATGAGGCTGGAGAATGCTGTCATAGATGGCCATGGAAAATGCCCCTTTTATAGATGGTTTACCTATTAAAAATGGTGATTTTCCATGGCTATGTTAAATAACCAGAAAGTAAAGGAAAATAGAAAAGTACATATAATCTGGGTAAATTATAACGACCTCACTGCGACCTCACTGGGAATGATGGTTAGTAAGGGAAATCATCCCAAAATTGCCTTAATTCAGGGTAGTGAAATATTAGAATTTACCCAGATTACCTGAAAGTCTCACAGTACTCAGTTTGTTCTCAATATTTGGGAATGTGAAAGTCAACGAAATTACAAGGCCATGTATATATACATATATAGAGTATATTTGGTTGGTGGTTTGGAACATTTGGATTACTTTTCCATATATTGGGAATACTCATCTCAACTGACTTTCATATTTTTTCAGAGGGGTAGGTATACCACCAACCAGGAATAGATTGTGAGAAACGGTCGTTTTCTGTGAACATGGATTTTTGCTGTTTCTCTTTAGTCTCAGGTTTTCGAAATGATTTCTGAAACTTGGAAATGGCATAGAAAAACGAATTCCATCTCCATGTGCATCCAAATCTATTCTGCCATATTTGTGTTGTTTCTTCACCTCCATAATTCCCAGCTCTTTGCCACTTCACCGCGGGAATTCATGTGTCCGATAATCCCCAGATAGCCACGTCATCGTTGCACCGCAACGCCAAGCTGTTTCCGCCTTGGTGATGCAGGTAGCCGACTTTCCTCTGAAGAACTTAGATTTGGTCGAGCTGGAACTGCGACAGATCCATGAGCGCAGCCTACCCTCAGGTGCTAAAAGGGGATCTTTTTCGGAGATTCTTGCCAATTCTGTTGTTCTTGGGGAAACCGAATGAATTGGAATTGAATTGGGTGGTTTAAGCCGCGGAAAAGAATCAAACATGTTGCAATAAACATGGACATATGTACTTTCGCTAGCTTTTGTTGGAGGGTATCTAAGATTGCCCGTGAAGTAATTACCACAAGCCTCAGCGTGTACCTCAAAAAATTGGTGTGAAAGTGTCAAAGTCATATGGTGGATAGAAGAAATCCTGCACCAGTTGATAGATGGTTTATCCCATTCGTTATAGGGTTTCAACCATCCAAGGTGGTGCAGGATTTCTTCCATCCACAGTATGGTAGAAGATCAACTTCTGATATGTAAACTGAGTGTCTAGGTAATCATATTATACAGAGAGATGATTCATGAATGGTATTAATGTATCGTACACTGTAAGTTGATTGCGTATGTTTGAGATTATGAAGGGATTGCCAAACACAGCACCGGTGATACACCAATACAAATTTAACATGCAACCCGTAAGTTGCCATATCCAATATGAAATTACCCTCTGGTAAACTAACATAGACAACTGGACAAACACCATTTATAATAGGTAGATCAACTATTTCTATGGGCCAATTTCCATAGTTCTTTAAGTATGTTTGCTAGAGGGTATTCTTGTCGAAGCCCATGTTTGAGGTTGTCATGCAAATAGAAAGGGCTGCGTTTTTATACAACACGGAATCACCATGAACGAGACAGGCTTGCAGTGTGCGAATGAAAGTTTCAGTTTGTACTCAGTTTGTTCTTTAATTTTTGGGAATGCGAAAGTCAATGAAATTACGAGGCAAGGCAATGACCCATAGCCATATATATATAATATATCTGGTTGGTGGTGACTGGAACATGAATGGATTATGACTTTCCATATATTGGGAAGAATAATCCCAACTGACGAACTCATATTTTTCAGAGGGGTAGGTCAACCACCAACCAGATATATGCGTGGATATTCAGTAAAAGAAAGTCTTGTAATGGTCATGCACTATATGTTTTTTTTGCAGAGAACCATATATATATATATGGTGATCGATCTAAAGGTCCTTGTAAGGAGTTTTAATTGCGAAAGCCGTGCATGTTATGTTGGAAACCCTCGCGAAAGTTTTTTTTCGAGTTCGCGAAAGTAAAATTTTATTTCGCGAAAGTTTCGCGAAAGTTGGGTATTATAATCATTATATGTAAAGGGCTGCCACCCACTGCCGCCCGGGGTCCGGCAGGAGAAGGGCACCAGAGAATGCGAGTAGCAGTAGCCAAGTTTCCAAAAGTGAGGCTTTGCGAGAGCCAAACACCAAGGCCCCTGGTCTTCGCTTTTCCTTCAGTGCACCCCCTGCTGATGGCCGGGGTCTGTGAATAGGGATATTTTCGCGAAAGTTCCGCGAAAGTTATGCGAAAGAGCGGGCGAAAGTCAAAGTGCATGTTGAAGGGGGTGGGCCAGTAAACTTTGAAAAACAAATTCTGTCCTGAGAAGGGATTCCGTGATGCTAGCTGCATGTTTAAAAGGCTACCAAGAAGTGATCCGTGATTCTCTGGCGTAATTTGGCAGGTGGTGTACGAATCTTCATAAGAGGTGTTGTTGGCCAACATGGGCCCCGCGAAAGATAAACATGGAGTTGGAGAAAGTTTCGCGAAAGTAAAATTTTTATTCGCGAAGGATGGCCGTTCCGGGATAAAGGAATTTTGATCAACAACCATATATGTATATTATTATATGTGGGAAACCCTTGGTTTAACGACCCGAGGTTCGCCCATGGGAGCCATCCCAAAACGACCTGACCAAACTTGTTGCTTCAGGTTGGTGAATCAAAAAACATGTCAGCCGGAAGGATCAGAAATGTCCACGGTGTCACGGTAGATGAATGGTAGATATAACTACCATCCCTACAAGATGGGGCCCCCAAGATAGCTAAGTTGCCTGATAAGTGGCTTAACTATGGTTTATGGTAGATCAACTATAGTATTCATGGTGATTATATTGGTTTATACTCTTTTGGCGTGGCAGGCGTGGCACTTGGCGACATCTATCTTCACTTTGCGTGGCAGGCGTGGCACTTATGGCACTGGGCTGGCTTTGGTGGCGCCTTTGGTTCTCAGATGACGCTGGGCGCTGCGGCTCTTTTGGCGTGGCAGGCGTGGCACTTGGCGATATCTATCTTCACTTTGTGTGGCAGGCGTGGCACTTATGGCACTGGGCTGGCTTTGGTGGCGCGCTTGGTTCTCAGATGACGCTGGGCGCTGCGGCTTTTGGCGTGGCAGGCGTGGCACTTGGCGACATCTATCTTCACTTTGCGTGGCAGGCGTGGCACTTATGGCACTGGGCTGGCTTTGGTGGCGCCTTTGGTTCTCAGATGACGCTGGGCGCTGCGGCTCTTTTGGCGTGGCAGGCGTGGCACTTGGCGATATCTATCTTCACTTTGCGTGGCAGGCGTGGCACTTATGGCACTGGGCTGGCTTTGGTGGCGCGCTTGGTTCTCAGATGACGCTGGGCGCTGGCTTTTGGCGTGGCAGGCGTGGCACTTGGCGATTTCTATCTTCACTTTGCGTGGCAGGCGTGGCACGTATGGCACTGGGCTGGCTCCGGTGGCGCGCTTGGGCCGGAGTGGCCGCGGTGGCCGCTGCGGCTGTTGGCGTGGCAGGCGTGGCACTTGGAGACATCCACGTTCGTTTCACGTGGCAGGCGTGCTACTTGGTGACAACGACTTCCACTTTGTGTGGCAGGCGTGGTACTTGGTGACATCGCACCAAATTGTCACACACCATCTTTCACACACAACTTTGTCACACACACCCCATCTTTTACCACACCATCTTTCACACACCACTTTGCCACACACCATCTTTTACACACAACTTTGTCACACCCTTTCTTTCACACCAAACTTTCACACACACTATCTTTCACACACAACTTTGTCACACACCATCTTTGACACACCACTTTGTCACACACCATCTTTCACACACCATCTTTCACACACCATCTTTGTCACACCACTTTGTCACACACCATTTTTCGCACATCATCTTTCACACCACTTTGTCACACGCCATCTTTCACACACAACTTTGTCACACACCATCTTTGACACACCACTTTGTCACACACCATCTTTCACACACCATACTGTCACACATACCATCTTTCACACCACTTTGTCGCACCATCTTTCACACACACACAGATTTGTCACACCTTCTGTTGCGACACCACTTTGTCACACACTGTCTTTCACACACCACTTTGTCACACACCACCTTTGTCACACACCATCTTTCACACACAACTTTGTCACACACCATCTTTCACACACAACTTTGTCACACACCATCTTTTACCAAACAATCTTTCACACGCAACTTTGTCACACACCATCTTTACACACAACTTTGTCACACACAATCTTTCACCACACCATCTTTCACACACACAACTTTGTCACACACCATCTTTCCTCCACCTCCTCCTTTGTCTTTCCTTCCTTCCCCGTCCCCGCTACAACATTTGTTGCTCATTATTGGAAGAAGTTGACTTGTGGGGTTATCCGGTCCTTCAATTTCCGACCCCCTGATGTTGCAGGTGGTTTCAACCCTCGGCAATATTGGCGAGTTGGGATCGTCAACTCAAATGTGCTTGAGGACGGTGCTGGGTTTCGAAGTCGAGAACAACGTGGAGGTCAGGCGTCAAGCGGACGTTCCTTGAGGTGAACCAGCGTCAGCATGAACCCAAGGACAGTCACTGCCACGCATCCATTTTTCGACACAAAATCTGGAACATCTTTCATAGCTTTACCTTGGCAGGAACTGTTGCGGGCAAGGAGCGCACCGGCGCTGGGTCGGTACCTTGCTTAGGCATACGTTTTTCCTCGCTTAGGACTACGTCGGTGATATATGGCTACAGTCTCAATAGAAAGATATATCGATGTATTTGAACATGATTTCAAGAGGCTTGTACATGTGTGACAGAGATGATCATCAGGACATTGTCATTGAATCATATTTTGAAGAAGTTGTTACAACGTACCAGTAGTACTGCACAAGGCGGTGGCGGAAGATTCATAAATAGGAAGCCTATAGGAGAGATTGGTTGTTGTGAATCACGGATGGCAGAGCGAATCCACTGATGGACCGAAAGATGATTGATGTCTCCTCTCTTTCTCTCTCTTTCTCTGTCTTTCTTTGACCATCAACCTACCTACCTACCGATCTATCTTCTATCGATCTATCTACCTACCTACCTATCTATCTATCTATCTATTTATCTATCTATCTATCTAGCTATCTATCTATCTATCTGTCTATCTACAAGTTTGAAAACGAAGCCATTCTGCGCGACTTCCTCAGTTTTTGAACTTGACAACATCAAAAACTCAGCAATTTTGCGAGACTTTCTCAATCTTTGAACTTGACAACATCAAAAACGAAGCAATTCTGCGAGACCTCCTCATTTTTCGAAGTTGACGACATCAAAAACGAAAGAATTCTGCGAGACTTCCTTCAAAAATGGAAAGTTGAGTGCAGAGCTGACGGCCTCGTACCAATGCGTTTTGCGATTTTTTTTTCGCCCACCTGTCTAAAGTATTGCGCCTGCCACGAAAAAGTGATGCCAGGTCATACGAAGTGCTGCACCTGTCACGCAAAATCATCTCAGCAAACCTGAAGAACATGTCTCTTGTACTGCGCCGGCCACGCGAAATGCATCTTTGCAGATATTCTTCAAATGTCCCACGCCTGCCAATGTTTTTGAAACTGCTACAAAACCCTCACGTTTTGCTCACTTGTGACAAGGTGCACAATCCCTTCTGCCTACCACGCAAAACGACATCTGAACGTCCAAAAGTGCTCCAGAACCCTCAGTTTTTTGCACTTTTGACTTCGAAATGTGCTTCGCGCCACAACGGCGTGCACTTTTTCGACATCTCAACTTCCAAAAGTGGTCCGACACTGGTGTGTTTTGTAAGCAAACATCACTGGGGGGGCCCCATCCTCTATATTAATGATGATTAATGTTGATCCCCAATTATTTGTATGGGATAAGTACAGTTAATCCACTTATTTCACTGGGGTAAACCAACCCACTTAGTAAGTGGGATGAGCCACCAAGTAGATTAACTGGTTGGTGGTTTCAAACAGTTTTTATTTTCCACTATATATGGGGTAATCCTTCCCATTGACTAATATGTTTCAAGATGGTTAAAACCACCAACCAGTTGATGATGATTAATGTGGATGATTATTGTCCGTTAAGTATTCCCATTCAACTGTCCGTCTTGTGGGTTAAATCCCACTAGAGGAGGCCCGAAAGAGTTGGACATTGCTATATATGTTGAACAGGAAACTCGGGCAACCTGTTGGGTTTAGGAAGCTGATGCCATGGGAAAGCCATGAAGATTATCACTGGTTATTATGGGGAAGATCATGGAATATGGTGATAAACAATGGCATTTAACCCAGTTTCCAAGGCTTATGGAATCTTATGGATACTGTTGGAGCTTCGCCATTTCTACCCATTAAAACCCTTTTGTGCGGGTCAATGATGGTAAACATACCCCCAAATGAACGTAAAGTCATCATCCAGATACATGGAGCCCGCAACGGATCAAATCAAATACTCGGTACAGGTACTGTCAGCAATTTTTCATATTTTCCACTACTTGTGGATGCAATTGGGATTACTCGTATACAACCACGGTGATTTAAGCACAAGTGGGATATTTCTACGACTATAGACTATGGTGAAATATTCAGTAATATCCAGTTTAGCAATAGGTTTGATGGCTATTTCCCCGTAACTTATATATGGGGATGGGTTAAACATATTACTACCATCTTTGGGGGAATAACCGTCCATCAGCCAGCTATTAGAGGGTACCCAGGGTACCAGGGTTTTGACTCATAGCCATATACAAATGGAGCTGCACCCCGTGTCGCGAACGCCGGTCAGCTCGAGCGCTGCAGGCTTGGATTCGGAAAGTAGCGAGGATGACGAGGAAAGCAAATGAGAGCGGAAGCCGCGACGTGAGAGCCATCAAACATATAGCTTTTGATTGGTTGCTATTGGAGGAGTCTATCTATTGTACCGGACTATGGGTTGTATATATCATTATTGATTTTATATATGATCTATTTTGATCAGTTTTTCATTTAGAACCAACAGTTTATTGGGGATAGTCACAACTATCATGGGAATTTCAATGCTGAACCTCAGATTGTGGTGAATCCCATTTGTTTGGAGTTGAAGAGTTTTTTTTCGTATTTGTGTTTTTGTGTATATACATATATACATATTGAAACTTGATCAAGATGGGTTCTATATGAACAACTGATCAAAATCAAGATGTGTTCTATATGAAAAACTGATCAAAATTGTACGTTTTTCCACTTGTGCCCTGATCAAGTTCGGTTCCATGTTGATTTTCAGGGTGAAAAACTGTGAGACTTGCTGGTGTCGTCAACTGATTGGTGGTTTCTGTAGATACCTCGTTGGATTGTCATTTACTGTAATAGAATTTGACCCTTTGCCACATGTTCATGGGATATACATATCTTATCTACTACTGTATACCCTTTGCCAGTTCAACCATTTTCATGGGATATACATATTTCTACTGCTGGACTTGTCTACTGACCAGCTATAACATCTAAAACAAACAAAAACCATGAGGGTATCTAAGCTGGGCTATGCAGACCAGTTTTTCCGGGGTGGCATCTCTAAGTCCTCACAAGGACTTGGCCCTTGGTGATGGTAAATACAGGAAATTGGATGGACTCTGCCCAAAATCGCCAGGCAGATGTCAAAACCCAGAATCGAAGTTTAGAAGCTAAACTTCCGACAATATGGACAGATGAAAAGCAGAGTAGGGAAGAGGCTGAGAGAAGAGGAAGATTAGAAGAAAGAAGATGCAGATGCGCGAAAAGGTAGGAAAGTCGCGAAACACTGTGTTTTTCCAATGATTTGGGGCTCCGGAGGGTCGAAACGTAGGCTCGCTAAAGCGGCGGGTGCGGAGCCAGCTGGCCAGATGCGAGATGAAAAAGTGCACGCCGTTGCGGCGCGAAGCACATTTCGAAGTCAAAATGTACAAAACACCTAGGTCCGGACCACTTTTGGAAGTTGCGATGTCGAAAAAGTGTACGCCGTTGTGGCGCGAAGCACATTTCGAAGTCAAAATGTACAAAACACACCATTGTCGGACCACTTTTGGAAGTTAAGATGCTGAAAAAGTGCACGCCGTTGTGGCGCGAAGCACATTTCCAAGTCAAAATGTACAAAACGCCAGGGGTTCGGACCACTTTTGGACGTTGCGATGTCGAAAAAGTGCACGCCGTTGTGGCGCGAAGCACATTTCCAAGTCAAAATGTACAAAACACACCATGCTCGGACCACTTTTGGAAGTCGAGATAAAAACACCAGGGGTTCGGACCACTTTTGGAGGTTCAGATGTCGCTCGCTTCACTACACTACACTACATTACACTACACTCCACTACACTACGCTCCACTACACTACACTACATTACACAACACTACAACTACACATCTACACTCCACTACACTCCACTAAATTACACTACACTACATTACACTACACTACACTACACTCCAGTACACTACACTACATTACACTACACTGCACTACCTTCCACTACACTTCACTACATTGCACTACACTACACTACAACTACAACTGCAACTACACAACTACACTCCACTACAATACACTCCACTACACTCCACTACACTAAATTACACTACACTACATTACACTACACTACACTCCACTACACTACACTACATTACACTACACTACCTTCCACTACACTTCACTACATTACACTACACTACACTCCACTACACTACAACTACAACTACGTCTACACAACTACACTCCACTACACTTCACTACACTACACTACATTACACTACACTACACTACATTCCACTACACTCCACTACACTACACTACAATACACTACACTACAATACACTGAATGACACTGCACCACAGATAGACAGGTAGACAGGTAGACAGATAGACAGATAGATAGATAGATAGATAGACAGGTAGACAGCTAGACAGATAGACAGATGAAAGAGAGAGAGAGAGATAGATAGATAGATAGGTAGATCGGTAGATAGGTAGATAGGTAGATAGGTAATTAGATGAAAGAGAGAAAGAGAGAGATAGATAGATCGATAGATAGATCGATAGATAGATAGATGCATAGAAGATAGGCTGGTAGGTAAGTAGGTAGTCAGAGAAAGAGAGAGACAGAGAGGAGACCTCAAGCACCTTTCGGTCCATCAGTGGATTCGCTTTGCCATCCCTGATTCACAACAACCAACCTCTCCTATAGGTTTCCTATTTTTGAAACTTCCGCCACCGCCTTGTGCGGTACTACTGGTAGATTCAATGGGTATATTCCCTTACATAGGCCTAAAAAATTGGCCTTATATTAATGGTAGGTACCTCCAATCAATCGGATCCTGAAATTCCCATTGATATATATGGGTTCCACACATCCCAGATATGTTGCTGTGAAAAAAAAACTCGCATCCCGGGTGCCATGACAGCCATGACAGCCATGACTCAGGTTGAATCCGCGGATTTTCTTCGCTGCAATTTTTCAGTCATAGAGATTTGAGCCCAACAGAAATAGAGAAACATTTCCACAGGATGGGGGCCCAGTTCGGAATCGGGTTCAGTTGGTGCGTTAAAAACATTTCAGATATAACTACGTATACAATAACCATATATGGTGTATGATACGCAAATAACCATATTTAGATGGGGTTATAAACCAACCAACATTCACATCACTGGAGCGCCCCATCCTGCAGGATGATAAGATGGTAGCTGGTATAGATGATGTTTACAGTCAGCTGTTTCCAGGATGGTAATTTCCAGTCAACAATAGATGATGTTTTTCCCCACAATTTTCCAAGGTGGTTTTAAAGATAGGTTGGATAGCAGACATTGATTTATTGGAGCAAACACTGGTTTCAATGATCTGCTTTGGGAATGAGGAAGCGAACAGAAGCCAGAAACTGTTTGGGGGTTACCGATGTTTTGGGGATTATCAAAATCCATCGAGGAATCCCGTTCTCAACCCAGTACAAAGAGAAGACATTTATATAGGGTTTGAACACTCCAGAAATGAGAGTTTCAGCAGATAGACTGATGATTTAAGCTATGGATGATTTGTATAACCAATGAACGGGCTGGTAACTTTGGGTCACTGGGTTTCATGGATTGGCAGTAAATCAAAGGCTGTGGTCGGCCAAGAAGTGTTCGACATGGCTCAACCACCAATCAGAATCGATTTATTCGGGGATAGCCGGGATAGCCGCTGACGTCCACAAGCGCGTCTGGACAAAAAATCTCAGCGCTTTAGGCTTCAGGGGAGAATTCTGAGCCATAGATGCAAAAATGGTATATATCTCATCGAAAAAGTAACATAACTATGGAAAATCTCCATTTTTAATGGGACAACTCATTATTTCCATTGCCATTTTCAATAGCAAACTGTTAGTTTACCAGAGGGTATCTCATCGAAAAAGTAACTGCCGTATCCAGGAGTGGAGAGGATTATGAAAGATTTGATCTGCTTATTTGATTACCCCTCCATGATTACTATAATAAAAACTGGTTGGTGGTTTGGAACATTTTCAGTCAGATTTTCATATTTTTCAGAGGGGTAGCATACCACCAACCAGAAAAGTACCATAAATCCAATCGTTATTGGACTTATGTTCACCAACTTAGTTCACCCGTTTTTGCTAGTTAGGTCACCGTTTTCCAATTGTGCCGTAAAGCGGGGCCCACTTTCTAGCAACGCCATTATGTTGGTAAACCTTGGTTGAGTAGTTGTTTTATCCCATGAATCTGGATAAATTATGTTATGACATCATGGCGTTTCCAATTATGTATATTTATATATATATATACATAAATGGCCGATTTGTTCAGTTAATTTCAGGCCAGTAAATCGCTATAATTCAGCCAGATAATGGACATAGATATTAGCCAGCTCACTATTATTCTGATTGCGGGTTTTTTATACGGTTATTTTATGATGGTCACCATTGACCATTGACCAAACATTGTTCAGATGGGTTGCAACATGTTGAAACCACCTCCGAAGTCAATGAACGAGACAGCGCTAGTTTTCACTGGGTGATTTTAGGCTCCAGCGGGCGAAACATGACATCAACGTGCCATCATAGCCGAGGCTGAGCCTACGACCTTTATACCTTTGACAAGCAACAATAATTGGCATCTTTGGACCCATGAAACGGAAATCTGAGAAATGTTCAGGACAATTACCCTCTGGTAATTTGTCACATAGCTATTGAACATGGCCCATTTAGTTCGTTGATTTACCTGTTAAAGACGGAGATTTTCCAGTTCGCAAACTGTTAGTTTACCAGATGGTATTTGCTAACTCAGAAATGTTTCACATGACATCTCTAATAAGCTATAGATCATGGAAACAAAAGTTTTGAATCCCCTCAGTTTGAAGGCATGGACTCAGAGTCACGTGATATGGATCAGAAGTGGAGCTAAGATGGGATGGTCCACTGTTGTTTCGACCAACAAACCCAGTGTATCGGTGGCAGTGACAAAAAGTTGACCGATTCACTCGTTTGGGGCGATCGCCTGTTCTATGGTGATTTCCCCGGATGAAATGTTTGTGAACAAGGTGCAATCGCCATGGAATAGGAGTGGTGTGTAAAGTAAGCACTCTTGTCTACACAAATGTTGTATGTTTAGTGACACTGTGCACATCATGATTTCGAAATATCTCCCGTTCTGTTTGTAAATATCCACATGAATTCTTGGAGTTTCGCATTTCATCCCATTTCATGTATAAATGGAGATCGATAAGGACCAATGCTTAGCACTCCAAAGTCCATTTCCAACGCGCTCCTTTCGGCAGAAGGCCTGGGATGCCCCGCTGGAAAAGCCCGGGAATCTGTGGGTCCCCCAGTTATAAGTTGAGAAGTTGTCTTATAAACAGTTGTAAACCCCATGAATACTATGGTCGTTTTAAGATCTTATAAGATTTCATAGGTTATAAGATGTTATAAGATTTTATAAGATGTTTTTTGCGTATCACAAACCATACAAAAATTTGAGTTATGTTCACCAACATGTTCACCAACTTAGATATCGTAAACGGGGGCTCCACTCGCAGGGAAATCCCCGAAGGAAGTGGCTTAAGCCATGGGACTGGCTCTCGGGGGTACCCCTTTATCAATCGCTGGGTGATTTGGAATGGAAATTCCGAACATCAAATTGATGATTTAGGGTACCCCCATTTTAGGAAACCATGATTCCAGGGTTCGGTCGCAGTGAGCTATAATTTACCCAGATAATGTTATACTATCAAATTACCAATTCTATAGTGGCTCATCCCAGAAATAAAGTAAGTGGATTAGTATTAAGAAAAAAACAGGGAAATTTGCATGGGATAAGTGGGTGGTTAATCCACGTAAATTTCACTGGGGTGAACGAACCCACTTACGAGCCGTGGGATGATATCTGGGTAAATTATAACGACCTCACGTCGCGACCGAACCCTGGAATCATGGTTTATTTTAGGAAAATCATCCCCAAATGGCCGGACTATTCAGGTTAGTGAAGTATCTCCATAGAATTTTCCACAAATGTGGTATACTTGGTAAACCCAATCATGAATCATCCCATTAACCAAGCATTTGCGGGTAATTTTTACATTATCCTAGTCATAGAGGTATACCCAATTTCATAAACCTCTATTGGGGATGTTGACTATGAATTATTGGGTTTACCCTCTGGTAAACCAACATAGCTATGGAAAATAACCATCTTTGATCGGTAGATCAACTATAAATGGGCAATTTTCAATAGCAAAATTAAAAATTACCAGAAGGTACCACATGATATCCCCATTTGTGTTGGTGAAATCCCATTTGGTTTCCTGTGAAGGCTGGCCATATGAATCATGTAGAGTGACTGGAAAACTCTGAGGTATACCTTGGTAAATCATTGTTGTTTTCATAGATTTCAGAATGTTTGAAGTATATTTGAATATGGATATATATACATTGATATATATCTAGATATTCATACAATAATCTACAATATCTAGATATCATATTAATATATACCCTCTGGTTATTTAACATAGCCATGGAAAATGGCCCATTTATAGATGATTTTCCCAGCTATAAACCTCCATTTATTTTACGGGATTTTCCATGGTTATGTAAAATAACCAGAGGGTATATATACATATCTAGATATAATATAATATATGGTTGGTGGTTTCAAACATGTGTTTTTTCCATTTCATATATGGGATGTCATCCTGCCCATTGACTTTCATATTTTTCAGAGGGGTAGGTCAACCACCAACTAGATATATGTTTGTACATATGTATGAATTACAGATGGTATATATTATATCTGATATCTAGATATTCATACAATAATCTACAATATCTAGATATAATAATCTACAAGATCTAGATATAATATGATTTAATAGATATACTATGATATAATTTGATATATAGATACATGTACATATTTTTTATTATTTACATGCATAATCCTAGGTCATATCCACAGGGTGCTTCCATTTGCATCAGGCTCATGGCGGTCCCCGTTGCAGGCGGACGCTGGTCAAAGGTGATACCCAACTGATCACAACTGGATGGATTTGAATATAGCATAGGCATATATACAATAGATACTGTAATCTATTTAATATAACATAATATAATATAATATATATATAGTATTTATATAACATAGTATATATATATAATTAATCAATCCAGTGATGTAAATAGCGAATATTGTCCTATTCAGTATGTGCTCTGGGGGTGCCCCTTCTATTAATCAAGCAGTCCGACAAAGGACATCAACTACAATGTTTTGCCCCAGTGTTGTTTGATTATAAACCTTAGCAACTAGTTCGATTCAAATCCGCAAACCCAAACAATATAGAAAATCCAATTAAAATGGATCGGCTTTTGGGGGTCCCATTTCCAGCTTTGTATGACTAACACTTACTAGGCAGTTGGTTTTTTGAAACTCATCATACGTATGGTTTATATACATCTCCTGCGAGGTGGTGCCACCCCAGTTATAGGTTGGCAATTTGGATCAATCTAGGTTTATTCTAGGGTTATTAATGGATGATTAATTGCATGACTAATGGAGGATTAATCAATGGATATTAGTGATGGATGATTTTTTATCGATTCACCGAAGCGTTTGATTGATATGGTGAGGGTGAAGAATTTCCAAATCCCCTTGTTTTTCTTGCAATCCCTTCCCTTCCATATCGAATTTTCAACACTCACTTTCTCTGAATATCGATACAGGATGGGGCTCCCCAGTGATGTTTGTTGGTTTATAAACCATGAAATAATCCCCATGAATACTAGTTCGTTATATCTACCATAAACCATCGTTTTTTCAGCCACTTTTCAAAACCACCAACTGAACGCGAGCCAACGTTTACGGGGGGCCCATCCTGAAACAATTTTTGACTTACCCTCTGGTTATGACTAACATGGCCATGGTATAAATGGCCAATAGAAATAGATGATTTTCCCAGCGAACTAAACCTCCATTTATTTACGGGATCAGTTCTGGATCAGTTCTCGGCTGGAGGATCTGACCCAGTAAAATGATCCGAAAATTGGCCCTCCAAATGATGGCCCACAATCGACAAGGGTCACCGAAGCGAGGGAATTCGATGGGCTATGGGATTAGTTAAGGTTGGTGGTGACTGGAACATGAATGGAGTATGACTTTCCATGAAAAGTTGGGAATTTCATCATCCCAACTGACTTTCACCCCATCATTTTTCAGAGGGGTGGGTATACCACCAACCAGTAAGTGCTTAGTAACTGGATTATAAGTGGCTGGGTTATAGCCCAGCTAACCAGTCAAGTTAAGATATGTTCGTCGCCAAGGGTGCATTGCAAAGCAGCTTCCCTGAAATACTTTGAACAAACAAAAAACAGGAAAACAACCCTGAAAGCAGATTTCAATATATATTCTTTTCAAAAGAGTTGAAGTAGTTAAGTTGCCAATTGTTTTTAGTCAAAAAGTGTTTATAAAGAAAATTGAGTACCAGCATGCGACACACTACTGTGTTTCCAGCTGTTCGAAATGTCCATGCAATGTAAATATAAATGTGCGGACTGCTTTGCCACACAAAGCAGACGAACAGTAATAAAAACGCGACCTTCAATGATGGCATCCTTTTTTTCCTCAGGTTAGCCGCACCGGGCACGGTTCTTTGTACAGAAATTGTAAGAAAAAAGTTGTATACCAGTGAAAATCCACCCTTTGCAGTAGGTAAATTGCAACTTGGTCGTCATCGTTAAAAAATCGATGCGGCTTTGAGGCTTCAGCCCGAGTGAACTCCGGAATCCGCCGGCTCCAGCCGCAGAGCCTACCGAAGATGCTACCGGAACTAGCGCCGGTTTGTTCTACCGCAGCGAAGAACCCGGAAGGGTTCTACAGCATGGGGCCCCATAGTTAGCTAAGTTGGTTTATAACTACAGAAACAATAGTGTATGATACTTATAACTACATTTAGATGGGGTTATAAACCAACTTAGCTAACTATGGGGCACCACCTTGTACCATCGCGTGATACAGTGACCCGAATGCAGAAGTCATTGGGCAAGTCCACCGCCAAGATTGGTAGCATCTATTGCGTCGATGGTCAAACTCACCAGCAAATAGCTCATCGAAGTAGCGGACATAGAATTTCTGAGCAAATGAAAACGACCTCACGTCGCAACCGAACCCTGGAATCATGGTTAATAAGGGGAATCATCCCAAACCTTACTTCAGGTTAGTGAATTAATATGAATTATCATAACTAATTTGCCCAGATAGTATGTATTTCATATCAGTGGGATGCGATCAATCATGATGTAGCCATGAGAATAGATGTAGTTAGAACATGTTGGAACTCCCTAGTTTATAACCCCCATTCGCTCAAAAATATATCCATAGCAGTCAAGATAAGTTGAACAGTTTCGTTATTCCCATATGGAGTCCATATTATCTCTAGTAATAATGAATCATTTATCCCCACAAATTGGTGTTATAGCGGTTTGAAATGTCCACATTCCCAGAATAATGGCGTTCTATTGCTCCAGCTACAATCCCCATTCTTCCCAACTTGGTGGCTCATCCCACAGCTCGTGTTTGTGGGTTTGTTAGTTCACCCCAGTGAAACTCGTGGATTCACCATCCACTTAACCCATACAAATTTCGCTGCTTGGGTTTTTTTTAACTAAGCCACGGCTACTTTATTCGTGGGATGAGCCACCAAGTGTAGATGCATATATATATGCATACATATGTATGTATGTATGTATGTATGTATGTATGTATGTGTGTATGTATATATATATATATATTCACTAGTTGGTTCCTAATAGCTATTCCTATAGCTATAATATTAGTCCATGGTCTTTTGTCATATATATATATATGATTCCTATACCAGCTAATATTTAGTTTTACATCCACCAGCCACCAGCTATGGATCTTCATCCGCCGTGAGGTCCAGGGTTGCCAACTCCCAAGGAGGTCCTTCAGCGCTTGGTGAAGGCCTTTGGTGAAACCAAGGTGCGCGGTAGCTGTGCGAGCTGGGGCGAATGGAGATGGTCTAAGATGCTTGGAGGTAGAATTATGGTGGCTAGGGAGATTTAGATGGGATCTATACATATATATATATAATAACATTATATATCTTTATAGATCCCATAATATAATTACATCATATATCATTATATATGCCATTATAATATCATAATATGTCATAATATAATCTATAATATATATATATCACTATATAGCCACCCGTAGGAGGATAATCGAGATCGGGTCCCGGGGTTCAATCTCCATAAGTTGGGAGATTTACTGCCCTACTGGTGGCAGTATGATCTCCAGTAGAAACACACCCAAGGCATTTGGAATGCAAAAAACTGGATGTGGTTTTTACTAATGGAGTAAGACTAGAGATAGTTGCAGCCACAGGACTGAGGTCAACATAATAGGTTGTTTATCATTTTTTTATCATTTTTTCATCATTTTGTTTTATCATTTTTTAACGTGTTTTTTTATCATTTCCCGACCCGTGTATCATTCTTTTGGAAATTTGTGCATCATTTCCCAGCAAGTGTATCGTTTTTACAGCCCGGAATCAAACCGGAACCTCGCGGAAGCAGCCCGGAACCCGCAAATGATAAAAAAACGATAAACAATCGTTAAAAAAATGATAAAAAAATGATAACGCAAAATGGTTAAAAAAAATGATAAATAAATGATCAAAAACTTAAAATATGTTTTCCAGTCTCTTGCTGCCAAAAAATCTCATAATTAGTAAGACTCCCCATTAAAAGCAGGAGTACTATTAGCTAACCATCCCAGTTAATTTTGGGGAGTCTTACTACATAAGCCATGTCCAACGGATGTTGAGCTAGCTGGGATGCACTCCAATGGGGATGTCTTTCACATGGTCTTTCACGATTCTTACCCTCTGGTAATTTAACATAGCTATTGAAAATGGCCATAGAAATAGTTGATTTTCCATTAAGAATGGTGATTTTCCATAGTTATCTTAGTCTACCAGAGGGTATCTGGAGGATGAGATCAGATATACCAAACGTGGACTGGATCGTTTAACAATTGAGCCATTAAAACTATATTTAAAAAAATAACGAACTTTTGATGGGGGAACACAGCAGATTTTGCAAACGGAGATTACGAGTATCATACAAAACTGAAGGATACCTAAGTACCACCCAGAAAAATCGGATGGGATGGAGGTGTTTTTCATAGCTCAAGTAATTGGATGCTACGATGTGGGGTTCAATGCAACTCCTTGCAAATAGGGCAGTCAACAGAAAAATTGATGGATATATCATGGAAAATCACAGGATAGAAATAATGGTACACATATTTATCACACCAGAATTATTATAAAATCTATATATATATATATATATATATATTTGTATATATATATATATAAATATTTATTTATATATATTCCGTAGGGGTGTTTCATGTGATATTTCACTTGAGGTTTGTTTCGTGTGACTATGTACTTAACGTGATCGCTTGTGGAAGTTGGGGAGTTACGACTCCTGGGCCGCCGAGACCGGCATCCCTCCATGGAAGTCCAACATTGACATCATGTTTTGTGCGTTTTTTCCGATGGAAATCCATATTGTGTTTGTGTTTAAGATATTTTAAGCTCATATTTTCATATATGTTCGGGGTTCAACCCATATTTTCCCATATGTGTTGTAGTTTTTTCCCGAGTTCCACCGCTATTTTTGCTTCGACGTTTCCGTTTTTTATCGGTGTGTTTCTTCCATCGAAATCAGCGAAAGGTGGGCGAGACAGGCTATAACCTGGCTGCCACGAGGCTGGAACATGTCGATATTCCTCGAACAAAGGGGATTCACCATGTTTTAGATATCAACAAATGGGATATAATAGGTGTATGATATATATATATATTTATATATATATATATATGTTATATATATACACTAGACTGGAATATATTGGTTTCACAATGTTTGGATTTCAACCAATGGGATACCCTGTGGTAAACATACAAAAAACTAGTGCGCCTGTACCATCAAATCTTTGAAGTGGTTGCACAAGGTAGCCGACGTGCCTGCCTTGTCAGCAGTCTCATCAGCTTTGGTGACCAGTTTTCTACTTCGGAAGATACCACGAGATCGCAAGCAGGCTCCACCATTACCATTATGGATCCTAGTCCAATGGGAACGGCGCATTTTGATGTCATCATGCTCCACGGTGGAGGCCGTCATCTTAGGATGTTTCCTGACCATGGCTTGGGGCAGTTTGCGATTTTCAGATTGTCAGCGACTTGATTTGGAGAAGCTGGTTTTGGGTGATGAAGATCATCGGGGCCTCATTTGGAGGTCTAAGGCGGCAATGAGTGGATTACCATTCGGAATCATCACATCCGGTTTCTTGAGCCACGGGTCTCACAATTGGGTATGGAAATTTCTTTCTATCCTGGATCAGCTCTATGCCTCCAACTCAGTGGGGATGGCTGATTTGTCCCGAGAGCGTCTGAGCGCAGGGTTCTTCCAATAGTGGGGGTCTGTCTCTCATCTTCTCATCTTCACATCTTCTCACTTCACTTCTTCTCATCTTCACATTCTCATCTTCACATCTTCTCATCTTCACATCTTCTCATCTTTACATCTTCTCACTTCACATCTTCTCATCTTCACATTCTCATCTTCACATATTCTCATCTTCACATCTTCTCACTTCACTTCTTCTCATCTTCACATTCTCATCTTCACATCTTTTCATCTTCACATCTTCTCATCTTCACATCTTCTCATCTTCACATATTATCATCTTCGCATCTTCTCATCTTCACATCTTCTCATCTTCACAACTGCTCATCTTCACATCTTCTCATCCTCACATCTTCACATCTTCACATCCTCACATCTTCACGGTTTGGAACATTGTTTTTCCATTCAGTTGGGAGTACTAATCATCCCAACTGACTTTCATATTTTTTTCAGAGGGGTTGAAACCACCAACCAGTAAACCATGGTTTATTAATTAGGAGGGGTACTCCTCCAATAGTCATGATTTGATACTTAAATGGTACCTTCCCAAGTAAACAGCCTAGGGGTATATTCATCCAGGGTTGACATTCACCATGTTTAGATATCAACTTGGTAAATTGTAGCGACCTCACTGTTCTCCCGAACCCTGGAATGAGGGTTAATAAGAGGAATCATCCCAAAATGGTCTTATTTCAGGTGTTTAGATTTATGCGATAATGATAACTAGTATATGTTGATATCTATGTTTAGTACATGATATTAGTTTTATACCTATATATGTTTAGATATCAACAAATGGGATATATATATATAATGGGTAATGAGGGTAAAACAATGTCATAAACCACCCATTTGGGAATGGTAAACATACCACCTATTTATGGTGATTTGGGGGATGGTTTATTATATTGTTTTACCCGCATGATATGATATATATATACACACACACTCACTAGGCTGGAATATATTTTTGATATTGGGAAGAACATACCATTATCCTATTTTCCCAGCTTATGTGACAGAATCCAATCAATATGATCTTGTCAATACAATCCCCATTCTAGATCAATCAACTGCATGGGTGGAAACTCATCCTTTAGTCTTTTGGGATGGGTGCAAAAAGATGAGTAGAACTAATCCTTTAGTCTCACTTGGTATCAGTGGCATTATCTACTAAACATAGCTATTGAACATGGCCCATTTAATTCGTTGATTTACCTAGTAAAAAATGGTGATTTTCTATAACTATGTTAGTTTACCAGAGGGTACGTTCACCAGCTAAGAATTGATTTTTGTTGCAGGGTATCTGGCTGATTGGCCATGATTCTATGACGTAATCCAGCTGATTCTCATGTATAATATTGCCCAACCCTCCGGTTGATTTAAATTTCCTACGGTTAAACCAAAATCCTACGGTTGAAATCTCATTTATTGATTTTTAGTATATTCAATCATGAATTCATAGATACAAATAATCTCTATTATGTATATAAATCAAATGTCTAATGTTCACAGTACAATTGAGCCATTAAGAATGCCATCCTTCATTAGTTGCCATACAAACTTACACTACCTAATTTAATGGTGATTTACAAAAACATAGTAGGGAAAACTATCGGCCAACTAGTATAATGAGATGGGCTAGGGTTTTTTAATGGCTGAATTGCTCGAAGCATCCCACTTTTATTTGGGATTATTTGCAATATCCACCACAGTACAAGTGGTTTTTGACCTCAACTGAACATGAATGGGAAATAGGGATACAACAATATAGTGATTAACAATGGGAAACATATTTCAATACCAAAATGATCTCATGACTTGGATGATTTGGGGGTACCCCCCCTTTTAGGAGAAACTCCAATTATTTATGTTACTAGTCATGAGTATAGTTTATGGAGAACTGTGGCAGAAATTTTTGATCAGTATTTTGGAAGATTATACCTACCACTAACTATAGTTATCTTCCAAGATTATTATCCATACTATAATTGACTATAGTTCTGTGGAGGATTATAATCCCTACCACTAAACTATCATTGGCTTTAGTTATCCATAAACTAGTGACTATATCATCCCATTTTTTCTATAGTTATGTGTGCTGGTCTTTTTTTAATGGACCACCCCATGCCACGGACTTGGGCCTGGCAAAATGATGATTTCAATGTGTGACTTTTTGGTACCCATGGGGATTTCAATGATGATTTCAATGATGATTTCAATGTGTGACATCAATGATTCCAATTTGTGTCACTTGATGCTTCATAATGATGTTACCTTTTGTTTGATGCTTTCTTTGGGGGTATGGGGCCTCATTTTCAGACACGCTCATCAAATAGCAAATCTTAGCTCAACAATAGCTGGTAACTGGTGACGGACGTCACTGCCACGTCATGACTTATAAATTAAGGATGGTTAGTCATGGCGATAAAAAACGTCTATTTCAAGTTGGTGAATTATGAGAATTCAACGAGATTACTCGGATTTAATAGTGTTGGACAGAGGGTTGATGTTGTGTTTACTTTGGATTTTTTGTGGGTCTGACGCTCTTGGGATTTAATGATGTGAACTGGTGATTTTTCATGGTGTCAAATCATGTTCACTGGTAAGTTAAAGGGATTTTGGGCATATGAAAAATTCTAGCCCTCCAAGAATGTGTGTCTTTCATTTCAAGACATGAAAAACTGTGAACCACAAGAAGAGGCCCCCAAACGCCTGATAGAAAAGCATGTTCGTTTGCATTCACATCCATGAAACCATTGTAATTGCCGTTAATCTCCATGTGTGCTGGTTAAATGTTGTTTTCTTGACGCTTGATCCTTGGAAAAAATCATTGCAGAGAACATGCGCCAGCGCCTTGTGCTAGAACGGCGACGTGGCCCCGTTGGTTTATGCGATGAAGCGCCCAAGCGCCGGCCGCATGACCTTGGCATTCATGGTGGGTCTCTCGATGATCCAGAGCCAGCATCATATTGGCATCATATTGGCATGACCACTGCGATGCAAACTGCACTCAAAATTACCGTGATTACGTTCGAATAAATGTGATAATGATTACTGGTTGGTGGTGACTGGAACCATGGAATTTTATGACTTTCCATATATTGGGAATAATAATCCCAACTGACTTTCATATATTTCAGAGAATTGAAACCACCAACCAGATAATCATATAACATTAGAATAATGTGAATCTAATAAGTCATCATTCTGATTTTAAAAAGTTCTAGCTGACAATGTGTAGTAATAATCGTAGTATCAGCAATTTGTAGCAATCGTTTTATTGCAACAACCTGTGTTGTCGATTTTAAACATTGATCGTTGTTGCGTCAACCAGATGGGCAAATAATATTGACCATGAACAATACAAAAACATTGATGAGAATTCAACTTATTGCTAATATTATTCCAGATACAATTCCTATGGATTCAGTCGTACCCTCTTAGCAAGTGTGACTGGAGTATAATTTACTATAATTTGGAGGGTTAGCCGTACCTTCTCAGACAGTAGCCATGGATCATCATGGATCCATATGGAATCATCTGGGTAAATTACTAGTAATCATCCATAAATAATTCCATTAACCATCCCTCATTCCATCCATTAAATTTTGTGAATTGCACCATTGATCATGGATGATGTCAGCGATTGACCTGTCCCTGTTTTCATTTTGGCTCCGGCCGCCCCTCGAATTGTGACAGATCTTCAGCCATGCTACGACTCTTGTGGCAAAAGAACTGACCGCTTCGCTTGCCGTTGCATGCGCATAAAGCTGTGTTGCGGAGATTTCTTTGTCAATCTACAGTGGTACTCGGAGCTTAGTGCGATCCAGGTGCCTTGCGTTTGAGTCCCTCCAAACTGTGTTTCAAGTGTCACCCACCTAGGGATCGAATTTGACCTTCTAAGAAGCTTGCAGTTCGATGTCTGAAAACGGTGGTGGAAGTGAAGAGCGAGGAGGTGCTTGGTCCAATGTTCCCACCTGGGATGGCAGCCCTTTGACGTGGAGGCAGTTCAAAAGGGAGATGAAATGGTGGGTCAGCAGTTTGGACCTGGCATCAACGGCCAGGTATAACCTGGCAGCAAGATGGTTGATGAAGCAGTCTGGCATTGTGCGCCAGCGGGGTGAGGAGTTCGACCCGGACGAGCTGAAGCACCAACCCCAGGTTGAGGCCCGGGATCCTGATTCTGGTGATATGGTGGTAATCACCCCTGTTGACTATCTCAGCGGTTTGAATCGTCTTTTGGAAGCCCTTGAGGGTATCAATGGAAAATCACCACTGGATAAGCGCGGTGAGCTGA